GTGACTCTAAAATGAAATAGACTGCATTATTATTAACGCCATTAAGTATCCAGAAATGCTTATAGCGGACTGAAAGAGAGAATGGTAGCAAAAAGGAATTTTCTTTCGTTTTAGGGCATAGCAAGTAGGTGCTATTTTCTTTGTATCTATTGTTCGTTCGTTTTTACAATATATAAGTAAGGCATTGTACTGGAATATTCATTTCGGGTTTCGGGTCTACTCGCACCTACGAGACGCTAGAGCTTGTTCTACCTTTTAAACAAGCTACCTAACCTGCCGTGTTTTCTCCAGTTGTCTTTTGTCTTTGTTTTTCTTGTGTCGTCCGAATAAGAAGGAAACTATTTTTCATTCGGACGAACTTTGTGAGGGAGAATGAAACTTATACCACTGAGTCCTGAATAAATGTTTTGTTAAGGAGCTACAACACGCGTGTTTCGCTCGTAATACTACTGTCTTTCCTCGCTCCTCGACGTTCGCGAGGAAGGGGGGGGACGGACGTTTCATGGGAGAGACTGAACGTCCCAAACGGCAAATTAAGAGCGAGTAGAGAAGGCGCAGGCTAGAGCTTCGCAGGTTAAGTTAAAGTTTCTCGTGTTTGGTGTTACGTTTTTGTTTTTTTTAATATGACTTCATTTTGACTTTTCTTTTACTTTCAAAATAATTTTGTACCGCTACTACTAATAAGAAGAATAATTTTATACCTTACAAAATAAATATGGAATGATTGAAAATATCTTGATAGCTCCCTCAATAAACTCACGGTGCATGTGTTGTCAAGTGCAAACATCTGGCCCAGCCATGTCTTTAAAACTTCTTTAATTTACAACTTTTATCTAAGCTTCCACAGAAGAAGCTTCCAGACGAGTGCTCAAAACCTTTGGCTGCCACTTGACGCAACCCAGTACTGAACGGCGTGCACGAAAAATTCCTAAAGATATCAAATAGTAGTGGTAACCACAAGTTAAGACGATGATATCCATCAGGAAATTGAGTAATTTCAGTTTTCAGAGGACAAAAACCTTGTACCAGAAAAATTTAAACAATATCGCAATCTTTTTTTGCATTTTTCAAGGGCTATAGATATAATTAGCTATAGCTGTAATAACAACAAAGACTATTTCTCATGGGAGCCCGAGAAAATAAATGTCAAATTTTACGAGAATTGTGAAAACACAGGTAAAATTCTGAAAATTTCATGTGTAAGATGTCATTTGGTGAAATTTGACATTTATTTTCTCGGGCTCTTATAAGAAATTTTCTTTGGTGTTATTACAGGTAACTAATTACATCCACAGCCCTTGAAAAATGTAAAAAAAATGCAATATTGTTTAAATTATTCTGGTACAAGGTTTTGTCTACTAAAAATTAAAATTACTCAATTTTCTAATGGATTTCGTCTTAAGTTAAAGCCGTGAACTCTTTTTTAGGTACTAGATAAGACAAGTGAGGAACTTGCAGTACTGTTGTTGATTTTTTTTTGCAACCCTTCCTACTTTCATGATACGTTTTTGCATCAAATGGAAACGCGGAAAAAATCCGAGCCTTAGATCAGATGGGATTCGAACCCACCACCCTCCGTGATCTAGTCGGATGCTCTAACAACTGAGCTACTGGAGATTCGATGGTGGGCAAGGGTGATATGTGGGTCTTTGACTAGAACTGCATCACGCAGTCACGTAGTCCGAAAAAGGATAAGCGGACAAGCGCATACGACTCATAACTACATCACGCAGTCACATTAAGGCATATCAGAGATGCAACCATTCCTTCTTTATTATTTAAATCACTTTTAAGTGAACAACATGATTTAAAAATAATGTTGTTCTTACGCTAACTAGTATTTTTAACTGATATATCATCTCTTGTTCAAACTTGATGGCGGCCGCATATTCCTGATCTCGATCAGTTTCGTAATATATTGGCAAATTTTTCTTGAGTTAAATTCTGAAAGGCTGTATCGAAGTTCAGGAAAAGGAAAAGAAAGCCGTTTTCGTTGTCTTTGTATAAAGAACTTTTAAGTCCTCGTAATTCTATCTAAATCATTATTTTTATTACAAAGTGCGACAAGTGTTATTACAAAGTGAGGCAGATATTCATGACAAATTTCGACAATTTTATTACAAAGTGCGGCAGAACAAACATGCCTAACAATACTGTCTAAGTGTACACTTTGGAAATTTCATTATAATTGCAACGTTTTAGCTCTGATCATTATTCTATTATATCCTGCACTGTGTACAAGAGGATTGTTTTCTCTTGCGACGAGGAGATACGACCGGCAAATACTTAACCGAAACTGGAAACCGCGCGTGAAACCCTCTGGCACCCACAGAAATTCCGGGAAATTACATCCTTGCCTAGTCCACGTACAGCCGGTCCCCACGGTAACCAAAAACTGCAAAACCCTAGCCGGCCTGACTTGTATAGCAGTTAGTTGTAACTCTACTCGGCTTATGTTATAGGAAAAGATACCTTCTTTCCGCTTTGACATCCATTTTCACTTAAACTCTGTAACTCTCGATGAACGTAATAGTCTAGTGTAGCCGAAAACCTGGGCAAGAAAAATTACCATTTTGCGTTTCTTTTTGGACACGTGACCAGCAGTTGGATCAAAGTATTTGCAAGAGAGAAAGGTTCAGCTTTCACAGGACTGTTTGGAACATCAAAATGGGGCCTTTTTTTTTCTTTTTTATTTGGAAAGCTCGTCACCATGCGTTGCGTTGACGACACAAACACCAGCTGTGGAGCAGACTACCAAAAATCATTCTAAGGCCTGTCCACACTTGATGCGTTTTCAAAAGTACGCGTTTTTGCTGTCATTAAAAACGCGTCGATCGATTCGCGTCCATACTACCGTCTTGATGCGTTTTCGACTGTCATTAAGGTAACCCGCTTAGCCGGGGTCTGATTCATGATACATCAAAGTCGTGCAAAATTCAATTTGGCGGTGGTTTTGCATTATTATTAAAGGTAACCATAGAAAGCAACAGCACTGAAGGTTGCAGCAAGAGCAGCAACTTGAGTGTAGAAGAGCATTAATCAACAAAACAAGTGGTTTCCCAGCATTTTTCTTGTTTACGTGCTTGGCGACTTTTCAATAATCTTGAGAAAGTGCACCCCGGAATGGCAGGATTGTAACATTGCACGTAACGGAGGGTTAATATTTAAACCCTCCTAAGCGGGTTACCTCACCTACCTGGGGTTCCCCACCTCCATGTAAACAGGTCCTTACCCGGGGGGGGGGGCACTTTAGGAATTTCTGGGTGGGGATGTGCCGCTGGGACCCTGGAACCCTTAACCTATACCAGAGCTAGTTCAGCTGAATTTTGCTACCCTATCCTAGAGTAAACTCCCCAAATCCCCCTATCCTAGACCTAGTCTAGATAAAATCTTCAACCAACTGATCAGTTTCCTGAAAAATGATACCCTATTCTAGACCCAAACGCTCTGATTTATATACCCTATCCTAGAGTAAACTGCTTGAAAACCATACCCTTCACAGCGGCACATACTTATATAGCCCATATATGGCAGTGCCCCCCCCGGGGGTCCTTATTCATGATTAACTTCATAAGGCAAAATTTTGCTTGTGATACGTACATCTTTTAAAAATGCTTACATCTCAGCTGCTTGGAGGCGATTTAGATATAGTGCAAGGGATGATCTGGATCTGAAAAGGTGGTCCCGTCTTTCCAGCCGGACGGAATGTTCCAAACGGAAATTCGTGTTCCATTGCGAAATCGTATCTTTGGTAAATGCAATCGGGAGCCGATGCAACTGATTTGTAGAAATTTAGAGTAAAAGCGACTCTGGGACCTTTCGCGGGTTAACTTTCATTTTCCAGAATTCATTGTTCCGTGCTTTAACCATTTTCACACATCGACATCTACTGTTTTATGCATTAAGGAGATGGATTATCCGTCTTGGCAAGTAATCTGACAGATGACTAATTCGTCCAAGTATAAATTCGTGGCACGAATTGAGGTCTCGTCAACTCTAATGCGTTTTCGTTTGAAAATGCATACATTTCGATGCGTTGAGGCCTTGTGTCCACACTGATACGCTGAGCAGATTTTCATTGAAAACGCTATCAAAACGAAAACGAATACACCTCCTATTGGTGTGAACGGTCGAAAACACATCAAAATGATTACGTTGACCGAAAATATCGCAGGCGCGTTTGCTTAAAGTATGCGCATAGATTTAAACTTACGTAATAACGTGCAATTCTATCGTTTTCGAACGTTTTAGCGTTGATCCACAGGAAAAAATAACGGATTCCCATTTTTGGATATTTTAGGGTATTTAAAGAATACCCATAAAAATCCCAAATTTGGCAAAGTGAGACAAGTCCCAACCAGGGAATTCCCAACTAAGTTCCCAGATTGGGACTTGTCTCACTCTTCCAAATTTGGGATTTTTGTGGATATTCTTTAAATTCCCTAAAATATCCAAAAATGGGAATCCGTTATTTTTTCCTGTGCTTACCTTTAACGTTTACATGGCAAAATTTGACTCAGGCTGCGAGGGTTACCCGGTCCGGCAGACCGGGCAACCCGCCTTGGCGGGTCACCCCCACCTATCATGTAAACGTGATCAAAATAAAACGAGAGATTATATGGACAGGCGGGTTACTCCAACTAAGAGGTTTACCTCACCTACCTGAGGTCCCCCACCTCCATGTAAACAGGCCCTAAGTGTCCCCTGCGACTTCGAAGAACGAAGGATGTTCCATGGTGAATGAAATTCACATGATTCAACTGTAAACGATGGAGAAACTTGATTTAACGTAACCTGCGAAACCTCTGTGTTTGAATCATTCTAGATTTCGTCTCTTTTATCATACTAATTAATGATTTATTCTTAAATTCTGTCTTCAGGTATCATGGTGAACAGGATTGTTAAGACAAGTGAGGAACTACTGCTTTTGTTGGTTGAATCTTCGTGATTTGTGGATCATAAAATATTCATAACAAAAATATTATGCTTTATTTGGACGTTTCGTTATTGTTAGTTACAGGATCTAAACAACACTTTTAGCTATTATACCCCTGCCTCCGTGTATCAGGTACAGCAAACATAGCCTGCGTAAGCCTGCCTAGCAAACGTTTCCGTGCGATTTCGGAGCAGAGAACGAGGAACGAGAGTCAAAGGCCGCGTGAAAATGGCGAAAGTAAAAGTGCGGGGATGGGTGGATCTCGTTCCATTTCTCGCGCGGCCAAAACCGGAAGTCCCGCTCCCCCTTTGCTTTGAAAACAAACGGAAATGCGTACCTTACGCAGGCTACAACAAATAAAACGATTTCCAACATTTCCCACGGTGATCACATTGTACAAACCCTGGGAAATTAACTGCAGTCGCTTTGTGTTTGGCAACGTTTCCTTCCCATATTTTTTTCACTTTAATGCTGTAGGCCTCCGTTAAAGTGAGAATAGTTACCAGTTTGCGTTTCTATTCCATCTCGTTGTTTTAAACATTGTAGAGTCTTATCTACTCCAAGATCGCTTTGGAACTGAGTACCACGATGGCTGCTCTTTGAATGAGACTTGGGGTCTAATAAGCCGTTAAGTTGTTCTCGAGGGGAATTTCGAAAAATTGTAGTGGAGGTACTCCGCCAGGGCCTAGACTTCTGGCGACTTCGTCGCTCGCTCAGCCGCTTCGCGGCCTAAACAGCTCGCTCCAATCACTTAGAAACTCGTGAGGTCGACTTGTGGCAAGTATAGCCAGAGCCTTTATTCCTGCGTGGACTGGAGTAAACACATTTTCAGTTAGCCAATGTTTTGAGTTATTGAAGCAAAATGAACTGAAAATGGGGTCAAAAAGAAAGTGAAACTAGCTCCATTGTGCTTACTTAATGCTGAGTAAACATATCTTCCTGCAACTAAGTTTCTAATGGTATTCATCCTTTGATTTAACCAAGAATTCAAATGCTTTATGCATACAGTTTAACTAGTTAAATGCAATGGTATAAAAATGTCACAAGTTCAATAATTTTATCTTTGAGTTTAGATATTATTTCCTAACTTTGTTTACTATGAACAAGTCTTGTGAGCTCACGAATTTGGGCTGCATTTGTATCAACTGTTAGTTCTAACTCCTTGATTTGGTTCTGGAGATCAGTCAATTTTCTATTTTGCTCTTCCTCTTTCTTTGCTTCCTTCTTCTGTCCTCTACGGTATTCAAAATATAATGTCAATGTGGCAATTCCAAATATCAGTGATTCTCCAAGCAGCTCTGCACCAACATCAACTGCCACTTGTTCACTTAGCGGCTGAACTTTATCTGGGCCTGACAGTCCCATCAATTTCATCCTCACCCTTGTCTCAAACCAATGATAGCCTGTTTGAATAAAAACGAATTTAAGATTGAAAAAATACAAAATATATCTGAAAAACAGAGAAAATTGTTCTATACCTTGACCCTCAACACAGGGCTGTCAACACCCCCCTCCCACCCCCCATCATCAAATATTGAGAATATTTGATAGGAAAGGAATGACAGATAAGATGACGTCATACCGCACAAAAAATGACATCATTTGGGCCAAAAATGCTCGCTGATTCCGATCTACATATATAGCACATAAACAGTTCATATTCAGTCACATTCCTTGAAATTACAGTGGCATACCAGAATTTTTGAGGAAACATTCCATGTAAACAGTAGCTCAAACAAAGCAAAATATTTGAAATTTTACGGTTGGAAAGTCGAGTCTACAAGAAATAGCATCTTTGGTGATTATCCAGGAGATACCAGACTCTAACCTGGAGTCCAAAATCTGGAGTCATCTGGGAGAGTTGACAGCACTGTCAACAACAGAATGAGAGATCAGGTGGAAATAATTTTCTCGGGCTTCTTTGAGAGTTTTTGGTTGTGGTGTGATCACTTAGGAGAAAAATGCTTTGACCTTTTATCAAATTATCTCAGCTAATTCTTTAAAAAAATGTATTGTGATGGGTCTGGAGAATTTGTATGTCAATATTCAAGCTTACAGGGTTAAAAGGTTGTCTACCATTGATATGTACCTCTTTGAGGATGTTTGAGCAATGTGGGTCATTTCTAAGTTTCAGTGGAATATTAACTGATGTAGAACAACCCTACTGTCAACAGTGATCTAAGGAGAGGTGGGATAGACAAGTATACATGTAGGTTGTAGGTTGTTACATGGTTGTCACAGCCAGAGGTTTCTGTATTTCCCTGACTTTTCCCAGGCTGATTTGTTTCCCTGGCAAATGTACAATTTCCCTGACCAACTGAATTAACAAATGCACGAATTAGTCCTGATAATGGACTTAACCCTCCCCTTCCCTCACAGCCATCCCCTCCTCCCATATACTTATGCTTTTAGCAAGTCACATGCAGTATACATGTATTGATAGTAGGGCAAAGAGGATAGATTTTCCTGAAAGCCAGTATCAGAAAACCTCACAAATACTAACTTACCCTGTTTTGGATACAGACTCAAACTCACTACCCAACAGGGAGGATACTTAATGGATTACTCCCCCTGTCCACCCACCCCCCACCAACAACTGGGATATTATCCTCCCCTCCATTCTGGACCAAAGCCATGGAAAAAAAGACTGAAGAATTCTTATTTCAAATGAAAAAAGAATACTCTGCAATAAATCCAAAATAACTTAAAAATCCAATAAGTCTTACATTACTTTACACAGTAAAATCTAAGTTACACATGTGTACATAATTATGAAAGCTTGCATCATCGTACAACTACCGATGGACGATCGCAACTTACCCTGCCCGGGCCATACACAAACATATCTCCTGAAGAACTCATTTTGCTTGGCTGCCGACTTTAAACTGTTGGCTACAGGTTTGGAGATCTGTTTAACAGCTAAACTCACTAATTTAAACAACGGAAAAGCGCCGACAACCATGATGAAAGTGAAACATGGACAGAAATAGATCTATACTACATGTACAGATCCATGAATAGTCAATACTACTTTCGATGTAAATCCCAGTCTCCACTCCATTTCTTGGAGGGTATCAAAAACCATTTTTTTAGTCCTTGCTGTAATGATCCAAAAAATTTAATGGGGATACAAGTTATGAGAGGACCAGCTTCTTTTTGCAAAAAAGTGTTTAAATAAGTATTGGTTAAAAATGCTGTGGACCAGGAGCCGATTTTGGGCTTCCGTGTGATCAGTGACGGCCTGTCACGCAACAGTCGATCCTGAAATTTTTTAGCATTATTCCTTTATTTTCCGCTTTCGGTTCTGTCTCCGTCTTAAATGTTACCTGTAAGCAATTAAAGCTCTTGTATATTTCGGATCTAAAAGTTCCAGATAGAAAAACATTCAGGCGAGATCGTTGCGTGATGCGCAATGTCGTATTACATGCCGAAAGACTGGGGCGAATGAGGGCCAATCCGGAAGATAGGATCGCCATTGTACAGAAAATTAACCTCGCTCGTTTTGGTTCTTTACAATGCGATAAGTTGTCATCTCTCTTTATGGACGGGAGCTTAGATCCCGAGGAAGCATGTAGGTTGATTGGAGAGGAGCTGGAGATCGAACGATCATGTGTTCGACCTTGCTTTGACGAAAATGGAAGTCGCGTTTGCTGTTTGGTACGTGAGTCTGAAAATTGAAATGCCTTGAAAATTGACTTAGAATTGTTTCTTGTGATATTATAATGTATCTATCGTGGTAAGAAATTATGCTTAGACCTTGAAGCTTAGTTACACAGAAACTGAATTCGTTTAAGTGAAACAAGTGACAGTCATGCATACAACATTTTTCAGCACTAACCAAATATGCTTATGAATTTAATTTATAATGTGACATAAGCTTACCCAAACCAGAGAGTTGAATGGATTTAAATCTATTCGTGGTTAAGCTGACGTGTTTCTTATATTTATATTTTTTTGCTTCAGAACTTTAAGCCTGTTTCAATAAATTTCTTGCTTAACAATGACACGCACTTTATTATGCAGTACTAACTTTACCTTTGGACTGCGTGATTTCAAGTTCAAGCAAATCCTTAGTCGTACTGGCTTTCACTTTCTTTAGTTTACTTAAGCTTAATAAAGTTTCATTTCTTTCACAATATTGTTTCAGTACTAAGTACAAAACCTTCAACACATATTGTGCTGTATTGTATATAAACTATAGATGGAGAAAAATACTCATCTGGCTAATTTTTATGGATCTTAAAAAAAAAAGCGTTCAAAGGTTGTTAATCTTGACATGCTTTTGACAAAACTGCAAATGATTGGTATGAAAGGCATTTTTAGCTCTAGAGTAAATCACGTCTAAAAGATTGACAATGGTCAATCTTAACAGGTTGCTAAATAATAATAATAATAATAATACGATCTTCATGTGGGTTGCCTCAAGGTGCGCTTATTGGACCTTTGTTGATATTCTCACTATACATATTAAATGACAACCATGAAACTTTCTTTTTTTGCTGAATATACAATCCTAGTCTTTACAGATAATAACTCTGAATGCTGTTGAATCAACAGACTAAATCTAAACGTCCTCCCCAGACGACTATACCTTTTGTTCCTGGGATTAAGATCTTAAAACCAACTACATAAATCAAGCAACACTAGAGATTATGGACTTAATTATCTGGGTACCATTATAATTGACTCATATCTTCAGTGGAAACACCTCACTGAATTTATTTGCCAAAAATTTAAAACATTGACTGGAGTTACTTTTCTAGATTAAGTACATAGTTATAAATCATACATATAAACAAAATGTCCTGCAAGGAAATGGAGGCATAGCAATTTTTAAGTGTAGAGTGGGATATTGTGAAATATTAGAGGTTTTGTTGGGAAAAGGATATCATGTATAAGGAATTGATACATGATATTGAGTAGATAAAGTCTATTATACTACTACATGAAAAATTTCTGCAATTTAATGATTGGCTCAGAGCAGTGGTATTTCCGCTCAATTTGAAATACTTACATGTGAAAATTACAAACCTTTTGCAGGTAGTAGTATAAACAAATAATAGCATGATTTGCATGTGATATTTGGCATAAGTACCACTCATGATATTTCAAAATTGTCTCAAATTTCACTTGCCTAACGGCTCGTGAAATTACATATAACAATTTCGAAATATCACTTGTGGTATTTATGCCAAATATCACTACAAATCATGCTATTACCTATACTAATAGGAAGTAAAACTAAAGCTCACATACAAATTTAGGATTTGGTTACCAGTCTAAAGATAGTTACAGTAAGGCGTAGTGTTAATATGTGGGTTTTACAATGCAGGTGATCGTATACTGTGGGCACAGTTTTTTTATTGGCACAAATAATCAAATGCCAAAAAATTATTGTTCCCTAGAATAAATTTCTTTAGTCCTGTTAATCTAAGCATCATTTGAGTTATGAGTGAACATCCTCACTCACACTTGGTTCTTCAATTTCTCAGGTCCATGAGAACTGGGTTCAAAGATATATAGCAGGGGACCCATCTCATGATGGGCCCCCTCAGGTCTCCCTGTGGAGCCCCTATGAACATCAGCTCATCTTACAGCCCTCACACCCTGAGCCAGATGCACCATGGACTAGAATAGGCATTGTTATTATCAAGAAGCCAATCAGAAAATCACCTTTGAAGAAGAGGTTGGTGTGAAGCAATTATTAGAGAGCTTAAGCAACAACGCCAGCGATGGCTATGAAAATGTCACTTAAAAAGTGAATTTGCGCTACTTGAAACTTTATTGCACTTATTCCAACTCGTTCAATTCATCAAATGTTGGCAAATTTTTCTGGAGTTGAATTCTAAAAGACTGTATCAAAGTTCAGGAAAAGACAAAGAAAGTCATTGTCTTGTGTTCACACCCTCGACAAAACGTGAAATTAGGCATTTTCACTTTGTAGTCATGCAGTGACAGCAAAGAAATCTACAAAAAAGTGTGGTGCACATGCCAATTTAAACCTAATGCTTTTTTGCCGTCCTCGTTGCCGTTGCCATCGTCGTTGCTCTTAAGCTCCCTATTATTGGGTAGGGTTGTCTCTTGAAAGTAAAATTTTTAACTCAATGTTGAAATTATGAAACCTGACTTGGCATCCAAGGAGATATATATAATTAAAGCTTCTAAATTATCCTTTTTTGTTGGTCAAACCTTCCATACTTAGGGCTGGATAAAAGAATATGCTCCGGAGAGGTGTCTGCTAAAGGCAGGTTAGAAATGCAGTGTTTGCATGTTTCTCGGATCAAAGGGACTGTTGACACTTTCCCTGCTGGTCTCTTGTGCCAGGTATCTCAGAAAGTACTGTAAATTCTCTACCAAGCCTCTACTAGGTCTTTCAAACAAGAGGAGCACACCCGATCCAGCAAGGAGACGGACCAAAACGAGTCTCTGGGTGGGGGGGCTGCTAGGTTGTCTAAGACTGCATCACAACTGCTTTGAAAAACATGGCTATTTTTTATCCCTTGGCATTGCTCAATCTTTTAAAATTCAAAAGTGATTTTTTTTTTCAAAGAGACTACAGTCAACTCCCTTTATAGTGGACACTGTTGGGACCTTGAGTTAGTGTCTTCTTTATCAAGAGTCCTTAATAGCGGGGCTTTATTTCAGTCAAACGTCTGTAATTTGTCTTTTCCGGGGATTTAGCTACTGTCTGTTTTATCAGGGTGTACACAAGGCGAGTTGACTGTACTTTCTTTTACAATTTCGGAGAAAGACGTCGTCAATTTCACTATTTAAAAACAAAATAGAAAGTTCAAAATCTGTATTATTTGCTAGGTTTGCTGCATGATCTTTGCATCATCATGATCTTTCAATAGTGTGCCAAGCTCAAGTCTCCTTCGGTGCTTCTTAGAAATAGATCAATGACTTCTTTCAGATCAATGCATTTTAGATAGTGCATGTGTAAGAGCCAGTAATGAGAGCCTCTCTTGTGCCGTGTGTATCCTACTTTTTGGTTAGTAAAACAGAGGATATTTTAAACTATCCTCAAAGACAAAAGGCTACACAAAAAAGGAAAAAATGCACACCTTCTGGGTCCTTCAAGCACAAGAAGATCCGACATCCACCCCTTGTAATTGGCTGTTAAGCAGCCAATTGGAAGATGAGAATTTCTGATCCTTCATATGGCCTGATAAATACATAAGGTTATAAAGCCACTTTTGAAAATAAGAAAGGAACATATTAACACCTTCGGCTAGCAATCAGAGGTCAATTTCTGATAGAGAAAAGATAAGAAACGCTATGCAGCCAATGTACAGTAAAAGACCACATGACCCCCTGGTGAAAGAAAAGGGGAAAGAAAACATTTGCATATCCACATTACAAATCCTCCAAAACAGACTTTTCCACAGTTCAACATATGATTCATTTCATATGTTTAAATTCATGACATTTCAGCTTTGTTGGTCATTTTGCAAGAGATGTTGGTGATGTAAACAATTTTATGGACTTGTCCTATGCTGAGCTGATGCAAAGTGTTGGCGTCCAGAATTTTCTTCACAGCTGGGACGATGCATTGGACACTTTTCCCCTTGCAGCACACTGCGGTCTGCCTGACCCACCAGCAAAAGAATCAGATAAGGTATGGTAAGAAAAAGAGGATAATAAAAACGTTGATGAGATGTGCAAATACATTGTTAATGTGAAGAACATTTCCCGGAATATTTTATGTTAATTAGAACTCCTATTTGCGTTCAATAACAAACTAAATTGTACATTCACAAGACTATCTGTTACCACTGCTTCTCTGAACTCTCTTGAGGGAGGAGGGGGAGGGGGAGGGTGGAGGGGTTCAGTTGAGTTGTTTTTGTAGCTGTGGAAAAATTTGTTGAGACCATCAACTCTAATAGGCCATTTCTGAGTTTCAAAATCTGTTTTTTTTTTCTGAAACGAGGCTAAGTGCAAACCTTTCTTAGGAAAATGAGTTTTATTTGCATGAGAATAAAAAAATCATTTTTATATTAATGGCTTTGCACTTAGCTTCGCTTTGAAACAGAGACTCGGGGAAACTCTGAAATGGCCGATTTTGAATGTTGGACGAGTGTGGAGAAATATTGTCCCCAGTTAAGCCTTATTTGAGCAAAAAATAGTTTTAAAAGGTGTGGTACATTTAGCCAGTACAGCGTGCAAAGAAAGTGGTGTCCGATAGCCCGAGGCTAGTGGATTTTGCTATCGGGCTAATGAATTCTGTTTTTAACTGGCCGGACGGGCAAGTGATGTTTTTTGAGAAAGTCGAATAACAGAAGAACTGTGATATCAATTCTGCAAGTCAAAAAGTTTTTGGGGCTAGTTGAAATGTAGTCTGGGCTAGTAAATGCTAGCTTCAGCTTGCCCGAATGGCAAGCTGTAAAAATGATTTTCTTTGCACCCTACAGTATCACGGAATAACGTTAACTTAACCTGGAAGCAAGTTAGAAAACTGGGCTGGGTTGTTCAAAGCTGGGTTAAAGATGACCCATGGTTAGTGCGAAATTTGAATTCAGGTATAAATGCTAAAAACGTAAATTCAGTTTAATTCTTTTTGTCAGCAAGTTAATGATTGGATGCTCTTAAAAATAACAGAGAAAATTATCTGAGAAAAAGCTTTTGAACAAAAGAAAAAGAAGCCCGGGTTAAATTTAACCCTGGATTAAGCGCTAATCGGCCTTCAAACAACTGGGCCCTGTTCGCCTCCAAGGAAACTCTAAGATTTCGGCGAGGAACGAGCTCTTAATGCCAAATAAGAATTTTGCAATCTCTCTACATTTTATATGCATACATTGTGTTTGACTTTATTGCAGAATATGATGGAAGAAATACTATTGAGTGCATATGGTCTGTCACCAATGAAACTGGACAATGCAAGGCAAAGTAATTTCGAATCGTCAGCTGAACGTGATGCATTTGACGATTTCAAAGAGGAGTCAGAAGGATCATTTATGTCTCTGATCATGAAGCAGAATGTCGTTCCTTTCGTTTGTGCGTTAGAAGGAAAATCCGCGTACTTTCTTGTTGAGCCCTATTTTCAACACAGTCTTCATAACATGGTAACATTTAGCCCGTCCGTGCTCTCAGCTTCCCATATGCGACCGCTGTTTTTGATATATCAGCTTCTTCACGCACTCCACTGGTATCACAGCCGTAGATTATCTCACGGAGCATTGACTCTCGACAGTGTTAAGATTAGTAAAGGATTGTGGATTTACCTCGAGTCGCCAGACTTCCTACGGACTCTTCATCACAATTCAGACATCGCATCATGCGAGCTTGAAAGTATGCGGGATAATAAAGCAGGTTTACTATCACAATTAGAGACAAATGAATCTGTGTGTAAGTGGACTAAGGAGGATTTGCCTAAGCTTGTCGAGTTATGGGTACACGGCAAGATTAACAACTTTGACTACTTGATGGCTTTGAATACGTTAGTGGGTCGACGTCTTGGTGATCCCAATTATCATCCAGTTTTTCCTTGGGTGACGGACTTTTCCTGCCACGATGGAGGATACAGAGACTTGAAAAAGTCCAAATTTCGCTTGAACAAGGGGGACAGACAGCTCGATGTGACATACAAAGCCGCTTTGCTGGACAGCCAAGATGGAGCCCCACCTCACCATGTCTCAGACGTTCTATCAGATATCACGTATCACGTTTACTTAGCACGAAGAACGCCCAAATCAGTTCTTTGTGATCACGTGAGAACTACCTGGGTCGCCAATGAGTACCCGTCTAACATGGAGAGACTGTATCACTGGACACCAGACGAATGCATCCCTCAGTTCTTTTCAGACACTAGTATTTTTGAATCAATTCATTCGGATCTTCCTGACTTGGGGCTGCCATCTTGGACGCCTTCTGCAGAGGAGTTTATCGACTGGCACAGAACAGTGCTAGAAAGCGAGGAGGTGTCGCGTAATTTGCACCACTGGATTGACCTTACGTTTGGGTACAAGCTGGCCGGTAAAGCAGCAGTGAAGGCTAAGAATGTCTACCTTCATCTCATCGACAAACACCAATCGCTCAGTAATCATGGAGTTGTGCAGCTCTTTACAGAGCCTCACCCAGGCAGGGTAAAAGCCCTGTCTTATACAAACAATTTGTTCCACGGCGGAGCTGGTTTTGATCTCACAGACGAGAGAACGTTCCGCACAGTTCTGCGTTTGGACAGTGAACGCACGGTAGAGAGTTTTTGTTTAGATGATTCTGTTCATGAAAGCGGCGATTTTCTCATTGGTAACCATCTGGCGTTAGCTGAAGGTGGAGTAGAAAGCAACAGCAAACTCGTAGCGGGGAAAGAAACAGTCAGCGAGGATGAGGGATTGAAGGGGATGCAGTACGAAATCATCTTTCTTCCCTCTGATTACAACCCTCTGGACTCCTTGCAGAAGTTTGAAGCTCTGGAGAAGTTCAAGAACCAGTTTGGCGTCAGAAGTGTTGAAAGTCTTGGCAACCGTGAAAGAAAGGTTAGTTTCAACATGAAAATAACACATTGTTTGACAATTCAATAAACTCCTTATTGTACTCCCTTGACTGCTAGATGCATTTCAATGCAATTTAAAAGAATTAACAACCAAGAGCGTCTTCAGTGCAACAGGTCCGCGGTCTTTCGGCATGCGCATGCCCAGTTGTTTGCTACATCCTTCACGTGATTTTCCTTCTTGCTGCGTTGTCTATGCCACGAGGTTTCTTTCAGCCATTTTCTCTCCCCCCCTCAGTCCTCTGATCCAGTCTTCCCACTGTTATTTTTAGACCAAACTGGTTCCCGAACGGCTTGTGTGGGGGTTTTTGGATTGACCGGTTTGTCCCAGCCCCGTTATTCAACCTAGGGGCTGGGAAGGTCCCTGGATCGGGCACTGGTTGTTAACCCTGTTCAAGTCCAAGAAAATGCCCCAAATCTTTCATATGTCCACGCATGCGCTTTGTACGCAACAGTCTCTTGTCTTAGTAACATGTTAAACTTGTCACTGGTGAAACCCAGTTTGGGGTGAAACCTAAGTATGTTGTTAGCCCAGCTAAGACAAAGAATAGAGTGAAGCAGGGCGGGTAGGTCATGTTACAGGTCAGTGGCTTCATGCTACGGTAAGGCATCAACTAAATCGGAACGTTAATTTTCTGGGCCTATTTTCTGCCTGGTAGGTTGATGAGGAGACCCATTTTGGCAAACTGGTGCGAGAAGATGTAATAAGCCTTGGATGTGCGATAGTGGAGATGCTGATACCAGCTAAAGTACAGTTGTCCACCTGTGGTCTAACAGGGAAACAGAGAGAAAGAGCTATTATAAAGCTGTGGGAAACAAATCAAAAATTACTTCCCAGGTTTGTTAAGAGTGGTAAATTTGCATTATAAATGTTATAGGTCAAAATTAATTTTTTTTTTGTAACGTAGGTTGATTCTCAATTTTCTTTATGTCCTAGCTTTACACGTACATATTTGTGAATTGGGGCTACGAGACAAAAGGGAATTGCCAATCAACCCACGATTTTGGCGTTCAGTATAGAAATACTAGATGAACTGTGCCCTCTTCCTTTCCTTGGGATTTTATATGATTCTGTACAAGATGGTTCAAACCTTGTAGTCTGAAGGCTGTCATTAGGGGGTTTAAGCAGCGACGTTTTTGAGCGACGCATGTCAACCGGAAGTTAGCCTTTTTCTCTCTTTATATGCTTTGACGCTACCATTCTGTACTACTAAGCGTATTTACTCTTATGGAGACGATCTGCCCAAAAATTTGTTCAAAATCACAGCCCAAGATTGCAAAAAGTCCACTTCCGGTTGACCTGTGCAGCTCAAAAACATCGTTGCTTAAACTCCCTATTATAGGCTTTGGGGTGTGATAGTTAATGGAAAGAACCCCAAAGAAAATTTGCTCCAAGCCCTGGATTTCAGATGGACTAAATTACAAGGCTAGTAGTCCCATCCCATTAAAACTATGTAAACCTAAGATCCAACTTAAAATGGTGTGTAGGTGATGACAGATGTTTCTGGCTTTAACATCTACTTTGTTTTCATCAGGTATGCTCGAGCTGGCGTGCAGGCATTTTTCAAAGGAGCGTCATCATCTGTTACCAGTGGCGCGGCTTCCCATGACGCATGGCTGCCTCCTCTCACTGCTGATTTGCTGCTTCAACCTCATTTGGGTTTATTTCCCTTCCCGTCGTACTTCAGTGCATTGCACGAATTTCTGGCAACATTTTATCATTCAGGTACTATACAGTCAAAGCTTCATTAAGCGAACATGCAATCACCCTTTATTGGTTACCTGCCAATGTCCCACAGAGATAATTACAACGAAAATATGTCGTTCTTTGATGGTCGTTTCTCAATTCCGTGGCTTAACAGTTTTTTGGACATATTCCTTTAGGCTATACTCTCAGAATTTTGGAACACGATATGTGTCTTGGAACAAGTTTAAATTCCGTGTCGTTAAACAAAAATGTTAATAGATTCTTCTCCCAATTACAATATGTGTGGATTCACTCCGACTAAGAGCTTGGGCTTGAAAAAGAGTGAATTGGCTTCAACTTAGTTAATAAAACCAAATTTTTGCAAAGTACGTGTATACATTCCTGTGAACCAGTAACATCGCGATACAGATGCATGTCTCTATTGAAAACAGCGTTTTGCAATGTTATATAGTTATCACGGGACTTCCTTCAAAACTCAATTATGTCGATTTAAAACCATGTGCATTATGTCAAAATAGAAAGAAAAATCTACAGGCATCCTGCGCGTTAATATTTTATATGGTACTCTTTATCTTTTTTTTTTTTTACCTGAAATGTATGGACAACTTGGAACGTTTACCTTATTATTTTGATACTTCACTTTGTTTCATCTATATTATACAGTTTGTTATTTATCCTAGGGCGAAAGGAAGACTCAGAAAGTCAGAAAAGCCAGCCACCAGAAATCTTGGTGTTGAGAAACAAATTGAACTACAGTGTGGAGCAAGTAGACATCGCCGCAACATTCCTTCCAGACCTACTTCCCAAAGTGGATGATGAAGGAATCAAACTACTGATGTATCATTTGGAGCCGTTGTTTAAATGCTTGGAGACCCGACTCCATGCTTGCACGCAGTTATTTGATATGCTGGCTCAGGCTTTGGGTCCGAAACATACACTCAAGACCTTCTTGAAATGTCTGGTGAATTTGTTCGATTCACACGCTTTGGAGAATTACGAAGTTATCATACGTCAGACTTTTCTCTCCCAGCTTATAGTGCGTTTCGGACTGGATGGGTTTTTGAAGCATTTTATAAGTTTTGTCGTCGATGCAGTCGCTTTTAAATCCAAGGTGAGCTCGGTAACTGACAAAGGGGACAGAATTTCTGTCCATAGCACCGAGGGTACCATGCAGGGAATCGCTGCTGCAGAATTGGAATTCACCGCCAAAGATGTGCCACTGGATATCGACGATGATTTGGATCTACCAGGGAACTTCCTTCGAAAAGGCTCAGATGTCAAACTTGCAAGTTTCTCCATGGGCATCGAAGAACTTGACACTGAAATTGTGGCTGATCATGGAAGAGATGACCGCTTGAAGGATGACGAGATCTCGGAACAAGTAACCTTGATGCCAAGGGAGATTTCCGAGGAAGACGTTGATGGACCATTGTTTCAGGGAAATATCTCAGACGATGATGATCCTGTCGTAGATGAAGAGGACGGGGGACGATCTTCTAAGTTGGTCAGCTTTCACAAAATTTACGAGGGCATCGAAATTGGTGGTGAAGATTCCATTGTTACTCTTGAAACTGAGGATTCTGCAAGAGGTGGAAATGATGCCGAGGGGATAGTGCTTCAGCCTCAAAAGGGAGCTGTCTCTGAAAGAAGACAGGAGACTGGAGAAGCAGCTACTGTGTTTGAACACCGAGAAAGAAATGTTGGTGTGACTGGTTTGGAAACTTGTCAAGGTGAAATTAAAGGACCTGAGGCGGATCAGAAAAACGTAGCGGTGCAGAAATCCAACGCACCTTCCAGAAATACCGGTCTTATCTCTGATGAAGAACCTGTAACAACCGAAGCCGAAGGTTTCGACCATTTAGAAAGAGAAAGGGATTTCACAATAAGCGCAGACTTGGCTGCAAAAACAGAATCAAGCTGGAAGAAAACTTTTGATAAAAATGACAATAATCCATTGGAGGATACTGAAGAGGAAAATGGAGAGCTTGGAGAGCACGAAGAAATTGATGATAGCCTGGAAGAAGCTAATCGTTTGTCTGAAGACGACGTGGAAGAAGGGGAGCCGCTTAGCGAAGATGAAGCACCAGAGAACGGATTATTGCAGGCAGACGATGAGGAAGCTATTAAAGATGAGCAATTACGCAAAGACAATGGCAAACCGGTGGTGCCATTCTACAACGGTACCAAGTCAAAATCTGTGGTGCGGGAAAAGAAAACCCTAAAGCAGCAGGATGAGCTAACACCAGGTACAATATCTGGTATAGCGGCAGAGAGCATTGTCTGGGTGGCCCCTCGCCTGGGCCCCGTTCTCACCTCTAAGTACATCGCAAGTCAACTACTCACCATGTTACCGCATTGCTACTTGGGAAAGGTCGTTTTGGAGGATGATGATGACGAAGAGAAAATGGTGAATGACAGGGATGCCAAGTGGCTGCTGTTTTGTTTGGCAAACTTCTGCACTTTGTACGGCGAGGCATTTATGCTGAATCAATACCTGCCTTACATAAAAAAGACGGTGAGTTTGCGCACAAATCAGGTTGTGTGGCGCATGGCTTCCAGCCGTCCAAACTTTCGCCACTAGGGTTCTTTTTAGTTTTTTTTTTGTCACAATAATAATTATTGTTATGTGGCTTGGATTTTTTCCCAACCGCGTGCGCTCTCATTGGTTACTTTGAGGTCACGTGACGTCTAACAGTGGAACTGTTTCCCGCCAAAATATCTGAGCAGGCAACATTATAAAAAATCTATGACGTCAGGGGGTAACAGTGCACTGTTACCCACGAACATTGACCGACGACCGCCGTTACAGAAGGTTTAATGAATTTCCGGCTATATGCCAAAACACTTAAAGACCGGTTCCTCGGGAAACAGTTAATTTTGTTTCCGTCGGGTGTTTATTATTGGCTTTTTTAAAATCCCAGGTGGGTGTAAGAATAAGTTCGGAGTCCAACTGGAAGAGTGTAGGTTAAGATAAATTACTAAACAGTGAGATGAAAAGTAAGAATGCTTGTGATTTGATGCGCCAAAATAGGGCTATGCCTTTTTATGTAGCTGTTGTGACCAAGCTAGCGACCGAAGAGAATATGGGACGTCTAGTAAAGTAATCGCTTTAAAAGAGACTTCAAAACGTATAACGGAGTTTTTCTCGTTAAAAAAGGATGCGAGGGTGGGGGGGAGGGGAAAGTCCCCGCATAGACAAGTTTTGGCTCGCGGAGGTTGCAGCATAATAGCTTCATCAGATTGCAGTGCTTTTATTACTATCGTTAAACAGCTATTGAATGCCTGTCTTTCCAATAGATCCGGGGCGTGCAAAGCAAGGTAACGCAAAGAGGTGAAGCCGCTTTGGCTGGTGTCCTGTCACTTCTAAAGTACTGCATTCCCTACCTATCACGTGATACGCTAAGTAGATACTCTGAACCTGACCTCATGACGGGAGTGTTTCAACCTGTCATACGCATCTTGTCTTCATACAACCTAACCTTCCCAGGTGGCGTTGCGGCCCGCCAAGCCATTTGTCGTAGTTATATTGACGTTCTTACGGTAGTGTGTTTAAAACTGGAAAGAGAACTTGCCCGGGAGAATATGACGGCTCCGCTGCAGCAATTTTTCTCGTGCTTCGAGCTGGAACGCATGAGACAGCTCAAGGAGAATGAAAAAGAAGAAAACGCGTCGCCCAACGAGTATGTTGAAGTGGACATTGAAGATGCTCTGGAGAGGAGGGACGAAGACAAATCAGGTTTGTGTATTTAGAGTGGTTTAAGGCATATATTCCTCCAATCGCCAACACTGCAATCCTGTCAGGTTGCAGGAGGTTAATTGCTCATAAACGTACAATGGGCGAAAAAAATGTTGAGACAGTGTACTGAAATTAAATAGGGTAACTTCAGAGAACAAAAGAATCCACACCCCTCCTCTGTCCCCTCCATTCAAAGTTGGGGTGTTTGTTGTTTTCTGTAGGTAGCTCGAACAGTGGCACAACATTGCATGGAGGAGATGGGGAAGGAAAAGCTATATTTCCTCCTTTTGAAGTCAGTAAAACGTAAAAAAGCCCAGTTTCAGGGCGAAGTGTCTAAACTCATTTTGTCGCCCATTGTAGCTTATTGACCTTAGCTCCCACGAGTTTCTTATAGCTCAGTGGTAGAGCATCTGGATTCTGGACTTGTAAGCACGAGGTCGTAGAGTTGGTCTTTCCCAAGTACTTCACCTTTTCCCGTGAGCTGAAAGCAAACTGAATTCCACCTTTAAAAAACAGACTTGTCCAATACCAAGTTAAACCAGGGAGCCTGGTTAAACACAGATAGGATATGCCTTGGACTCCTGGCTAGTTTGCCATTTCAGATCCGCTAACGTGAATGGGTGGAACGGACGATTTTGTAGGAACAAAATTTCCTGGATGCATAGATAACCAATTTTTTTTTACTCACGGTGCTCCGCTGCGTGTGCGCAAGAGCTCCCTGCAAATTCACCATCACATTTCTGTCATTTAGAATCACGTTTACGGCAAACGTCAGATTCAAGTTGTCGATTTCTCGAATTTGGAAATGAGAAGGTAAAAACAGTTCAAAACTGATGAACGTGGCATGAAACTACCTATGTTTGGGTAGATACAATCAACACTTAACGGCAGGTAAAAGGGAAACTTGGTCACGTCGTACTAATTGATGTTTACCGTAAAACTGATTCTTAATCTCTTAATCGAAGTCAGCAAAGATTTGCCCATTGAAACTGCGACATCGCGCTCTATAGACACACCCTTCCCTTCTAAGGCCCAGTTCAGACGCCGTACTTTTCATGAGCCGAACCTAATACATTGAATTAAGTATATGAAAAGTTCGGCGTCTGAATCAATTAGGAACGCCTGTTTCAATTTGGAACGGCTCACCCGTTCTTTTCGCCTAGCCCGGCCGGGAATTTCGCCTTTGGATCGACTTTGGAACGCCTTTGATTCAGACGCCGAACTTTTCATGTACCGAACCTAATGCATAAATTCTTATAACGTATTTTGTAAGCAGTTTGACCAAAATGCGCATTTTTCGCCTTCTGAATTTAGTTCGGCTGGAATTAAGATCGGCGTCTGAATCAATTTAGCCGGTCTAAATAATTTGGGTCGGCCTTAATTCGAATTAGGTTCGGCTCATGAAAAGTTCGCCGTCTGAACCGGGCCTAAGATGGTTCTCCTCTTTCGTATTTCAGGGATCGACGAGAAAGACAATTTGCCAGAGAAAGCTGAAGACCTGTATAACACTCCGGCTTATAACGAGTTGTATGAGACCTTCAACGCGGCAATAGCCCACCACGCGTTTGTGCCCTTGTGTGGCATCATGGGAAGCAAGTATATGGAAACGGCGCTTCATAATCACGACCTCATTTGGAATCTGTGCTGCAGTCATGATGTGCAGCTGTCTCACCCCACTTGCGAAGATGTGAGGGCGTCCGAGGAGGAGGAAAATGGCGAGGAGACTGTTGACAACATGGGTGGGGAGGGAACATTGGAAGTTGATTCTGGGGTTAGTGGCAATCGTGGCGTGGATGGCGAAGCTGATGAACGAGTTCGTGGAAAGAAGAAATTCGGGAAAAGGGCCAAGCCTCCTATGTGGCGCATCGGAAGGAAATTGTCGGCGAAAACGAAAGATGTACCCGCAGCAAATATGTGAGTGGGAAGTAAAATTACAACACCGAATTTGCGTTAGTAATACCTGTCCAAAGATTTTTAAAATTTTCAATCCAGTAAGGTTCCTTGATCACTCACTCTTTCTTACCGCCAAAAACATAAAGACAGAATTGAGCAAGGGGTTAACATTTTTTATTTGAGGCGCACGTGTCTGGTTTGAAAACTTATCAATCTTGTACCCATTGTCCAAACCAAGTGGGTTTTCATGAAGTGGAAATATCAGCAAGGATGCCAAAAATTTAGGTACTTTTAATAAGCGTTTTTTTTTATTGTCCACTATATAATGACGAGTTTTTTTCGTGGAAAACTTCTCGTGCCCGATTAATATTATGTCTGGAAAATGGCACCGTAAATTCCGCGTTTCAGATTTACTGAAACGCCTACAACTGTTTTAGTAAGCTTTTAAATAGACCATTTCCGAGTTCCAAAAACTCTCAGTTTCAAAACGAGGCTGAGTGCAAAACTCTTCTTGTGAAAATGAGTTTTATTTCCATGAGAATAATAACGTCATTTTCATGTCAATGACTTTGAACTTAGCCTCGCTTTGAAACAGCAGCTTGGGGCTACTCGGAAATTGCCTATTGACAGTGTGCTGCTACTGTATTAAGCTTTAAAGTGCTTTGAAGTTTGACAGACCGCGGTCAAAACTTCTCGATACGTCCTTTGATAAGGGAAGGTAATAAATAATTTGAGTAAGTTAGAGAATTGTCAAAGAAATGTGACTCGAACCAAAAAACTAAGAAGCACCCGTCGCAGTGAAATTTGGGAAGGGTTCAAGCAACGACCTTGCCCTGCCATTGGCGAGATTGTGTCCTCGCTGGACTCACAATCCGGCGGTCCCTGGTTCGAGTCCCGCTCTGGTCATCTCCGTTGTCCCGAGATCAAATCATCGGCCTCTCTTTTAAGTAGCCAACTGGTTGCAACCTTGACCAGATGGGGTTTTTAATCGGCCTGTTATGTTATATTTGAATTATTTGTTTCTAATATTTGAGTGGAGTGCCCGTAAACTAGCTGGATAAGCTAAGCGCACTTTCCAGCCTTAAGAAAATCTTTAACCTATTATATTCGGTGTTCTTTTCTTGTAATTTCACGAAATCGCTGATAGATATGCTCTCTATTTCTAATTGTAGCATTACCTTTCCTTTATCCATTAACGTATTCATCATCAGTGGGTCTTTTGTCTTGTTTTGTATCATTTGACAGATCACCCTCATCTTCCGATCAGTATCTTCGTGGTAGTTGGCTGACTCACTGGGAAAATCAACTCAGTATGTAACTTTGTATCTAGCTGTTTCGAGATAGATTTTCATGGAGACGAGACCAGGCTAAGCAACAGTGCCGAAATGTGATCTGAGATATTACGAATAATTCTGAATAAAGATGCCTCAACCATACAGTCAAGAGATTAAGTTTCGTTCATAATAATTTTCTCTTTTTTTTTTCTTTCCTGAAGCGCTCAGTAAACTTTGAAGTGACCACTCTGTTTTCGCGTTGAGTTGCGGGGAAAAGGTTGTATAAGGGCATCATCACAGTCATGTTCACGAAATCATCGTCACGTCGTCATCATCATCATTAGCATGATCAGTCTTTGTCGCGCCACGTGTCGCACAGTGCGGTTATCGAGGAAAGAAACATGCAGACCATTCTGTGTAATGTATGTATTAACTCGTGCTCGTTGTTAATCTGTTAGGTGACTTATTTCTTTCAGATGTAAAGGGCAAAATTGGACATAAGTTTAATCTGCAACAAGTCAAACTCCAGACCTTTACAGGTAAGACACTAACAGGGAATAGCACATGTGAAATGAGGAGTAGCACGTGCAAAATAAGGAATAGCACGTGCGAAATAAGGAATAGCTCGTGTAAAATAAGGAACAGCACGTGCAAAAGTAGATCGCGTGCTTAAAATTTAACATATGGAGCTTAACTAATCTGACGGCGGCTCCTTTCCTACTGATGAAGTTTCGTTTTTGTCAGGCCACAGTGGACCAGTCCGTTCAGTGTATGTACAAGATAGTGAGCACTGCTTCCTGTCGGCGAGTAAAGACAAAACTGTCAAGCTGTGGTCGCTTAGTAACCATGGTGATGGCACGGCTCAGTCAGCTAGCTCGTGGACATATTACAGACACACGCGACCGGTATTTCACGTGGGAATGGTGGAGTCTGTGCGGCAGGCTGTGTCATGCGATGGCAGTCTTCATGTAAGCTGTTAGAGAGCTTTAGATTCTAAGACGAGTACGACAGCGGGTACGAGATTTTCTCAATACTAAGTAGTGTACGCGCGTAAGTCAGCGTCATTTTGGCGGGAAAACGTGGTAGCCGTCGTCACTCTACAAGGAGTTTTAGCGAGGATGTCGAAGTGGCGGAAACAAGTTATCAAATGTTAGAAGCTTTATTATTCTGCGATCGGGAGAGGGTGTAACTTCCTTCACTAAAGGTAACAGTGCTAACTTTCTTGATGAAAAGTGGTAAAATGAAGCTTTCCAGGGAGTCTCTGTTTGCCAGAAAAATTAGAATATTGGTTTTCGAGGTCGCAGTCTCAAAATGGTCTAATTTTCAACCTGAAATTCGCTAACGTCAACTTTAAGGTCAAATCTCGTACTCGTAGTCGTTCTTGAATCTAAAGGTCTCTATTTTTGGTTGTATTGAAAGCACTTCTAATACAATCACAGTACCTCACGACATTTGTTGACGCGTGGTATTGATTGTTTCCTTTTTTCCAGTTGTGGGACCCAGTCTCCACGCGCTCTCTGGGAACCTTTGACCAGCCGCGGAACAATCCGATCGTTGCCATGACGGCACTTCCAGCACCCAGCCAATGCGTAGTGGCTGCCATGGCAGAAGGAACCGCCAGGTGAAAACTCGAAATGGAGTGCAAAACAGCTATATGTATTTCGTATTTGTCACAATCGCTTGACTGTTGAGTCGTGTCTATCAAGTCTCCCACACAACTGCTTTTTGTGTAATCACACAACCCTCGGGGAGTGTTGCGTGACAGCACAAAAGACGGCTGCGTAGGGGACAAGTGTGTTACCGTTAGCAAGTTATAATCTACGATGGCTCACCATTCTCCACTTTAGGAACGACAAGGGGACTGGAGCCGAAATGCGTGCCGCAATGGTTGCCGGGATCGTTACTGGGGACACGCCAGTTAACTATTGGCCATTTTTTACCTTGTCCCCATGAACGATCAAGTATTCATATCTGCCACTCTAGCACTTTGAAACTTTTATTGCCAAAACACTCAAGACCTTGTTCTTAACTAAAACCTCTAAATAATGAAATTAAGTAGTTTGTTACAATTTTCATAGTTACTGTTTATTGTAGGTTTAACTTAAGCTATTTTTTCTTAGGTTTTATATTCAGTACGATTTGGTTGCTGGGGACCCTGTCACGAGTGTTGTGACTATTAATATTAGGTTTTAGTTATTGATGTGCATTTGCAAAAATGAGCAGTGCAAATGTTAATTTAAATAATAATAATAATAATAATAATTATTATTATTATTATTAATTTTTTTTTAAGCAGCAAATAACTTCTGCCATCGTTTTTTTGTAGATTTCTTGATGTTCGACAGCAAAGTTTTGTCACGGAGTGGAAAGTTACCACCAGTAGTATTGCGGGTGAGGCATTTTTCATTGCACGTCTTGCATAGTTTTCTCGCAAACTGACCCATAAGTGTCTTCCGTTGGGCGGATGAGTAGTCGGAAGAGGTAAAACAATACGTAAAGGTAAAGCAAAGAGATAATGACCTTCAATGAGTTCTCGAAAGCGAGCGGAGAGGACTGAACCCAACTTTTAGTTCTCATTTCTTCTCCTCTGCCAAGCTACCTTTCGCAAAGACCTCTGGGATCGTTAATGGGAATGCGCTGATCAGCTATTGGTCAATTTTTCCCCAATTTCTAAGCACCGTCCCAGCAGTCTTTGCGAAAGGTAATGCGGCCCAGTTTCCTCGTTCCTAAAGTGGCGAATTTGCGGTGCTGCGGTTGTTAAAATATGTACGCGCCGTTGTCACTCAACAACTTCAAACTGAACCTGTTGACGCCCATTTTTAATTCCCGAATTTGCGGTGCGTTTATTTTTGACAACAGGACAACGCTTTCAGAGCCACCTCAAATATTGGACAATTAAAGCTGGCTCTGAACTAGCCTGCGTAGGAAGCGTTTTCGCTCCAGTTAATAGAGACCTTTAGATTCGAGGACGAGAGCAACTACGCGTACGAGATTTGATTTTAGTTTTTTTTCGCGTAGACATCCCAGAATGCTTCGTTGCACTTTTTTTTTTCAGCAGAAAAGTTAGTATTGTTATCTTTATTGCAGGAGGTTAAGCCCTCTCCCTATCGCAAAATGATAAAACTTCTAACATTTGATAACTTGTTTCCGCCGCTACGACATTTATTAATTTATTTAATTTTTATTAACTCTCGCTCATACTTCTCGTAAAATGACAACAGCTATCACCTTTTCACGCCAAAATGACGCTCGTTCACGCGCGAGCGCTACTTAGTATTGAGAAATCTCGTACTCTTTATCGTACTCGTCGTAGGATCTAAATGTTAAAAAAAAAGAATGGGGAGGGGTAGGGGAGAGAAGGAATTGTGTGGTTTGCAGGCAAGCGTTTCCTTCTTCTCCCTCCCCTCCCCTCCCCTCCCCTCCCCTTGCCTCTCTCTCTTTTTTTGTTGCTCTCGTTCCAAGTTTTCGTGCAATAACTCGATCGGAAACGCTTGCTACGCACGCTAGGTACGAACAACTGGCCTTCACTGTTCTACCTACAGCAGTGGACTTTGGCCCAGTAAAAGATTTGTTCCCTTTGGGCCTCTCAGGTACTGTCCGTGATATATGCTGCAGCCCTGACGGACGTTGGATCGCTCTTGGTTTCTCGTCCGGTCTCACGTCTGTGTTGGATACAAGAGGGGGACTTCTCCGCAGCCACCGGCGGGCGCATACGTCAGAAATATATCAGGTATAGCTGAAGTAGACGTGCACTGAAAAGTAGATGTTATTTATAAGCACTGGAAACTAGGGGTACTTACTTTTTACGAGGGAAAACCGGAAAATCCGGTTGGAAAGTCAAATGTTTCGCGCCATTTTGTTGGGGAAACGTCAGAAAACACGGGCTTTGGTTTTAGGCGATGCAATTTTTCTACTCTTTTCAGCTAATTTGGATACACTTTATAGCGGATCATTCTCCCATCACATGAAATTTTATAATTTTATGTTTATATAGTAAGGATCGTTAGTGATTGGTAAATTACGATCCTCGCTTTGTTGGTGGGTTTCGATCCAAAGCATTGTTAGCAACCACGGTCTTACAAATAATCGTACTCAGTAAATCGACACAATCGCCTGATAAAGACCTGTAGTACGCGGCCGAAACGTCGCGATTAATGTCTTATTGACAATCGTGAAACAAACGATAAACAAAACCCTTTAACACATTAACCACGATAAACAGTATCTTTCCTGACATTTTGACGTTTCCACGTCACTGCTCATTTAGCTACCACTATCTTTCAGGTCAAAGCTTTCTCAAATTCTTCGTTTGTCACGTCATCCGTAGATTCTGGTTTGTCACTGTGGAAAGACGACGGATTGCGGCTTAAGACTCTAAAAGGTAACAAGATTGAGTGACGTAGTGTGTAGACATGAGGTGCATCCGATCCCACGATACAGTCATGAAACTGGTCAGGGGATGCCAATTTTTGACAGCAGTTAATCGTCTTTGATATGGGTGGCGTTTATCATTGCAAAGCAAGGATAGCAATGCATTTTATTTCGTTATGGCCTCCTGGTATGTCTGGGTGAGTGTGACATTTCACGCTGGTTTACATGGTAGGCCGTACGGTCACTTGACAGCCTAGGGTACGAAAGGATGGACACCAGATAACCATGCATGGTATACTGCGGACGAAGTTTTTCCGCTGCCAAAGGTGGCTTGGCACTTTATTTAGATCATGGTGTACGTATGCCACGACTCTTTGTTTCTTAAACCGATCTAGAGTAAGTTACAGGACTACAGGCTCCTACACAACCCTGTTCTTTCAAACGGTTACCTTGATTTCTATTTTTCAGGCCCCAGCGATCCTCTTCCCTCCATACTGGTATGGCGAGACCAAGTGATTTCAGCCAATATGAACGGAAGAATAGGTGTTTACAATTTACAGGAAGACACGTCAGAGGTGAGATAAAAGTTGCGTTCACACTTTGTGCCCGAGCACTTTGTTTTTTGGGCACCCGCACAGGATGGTGCTATGTTTGCCATCTGGATGCTCGGGCGATATTTTGTTACTTCAGTGCACACTTGTACCATTTCGCGTCGTTGAGTATCAGTGCCAAAAATCGTTAAAAACAGTGAGGAATTGAAAGTACTATCCAATGCAGCAAATTGAAAAAAAGCAAGTATATTTTTTGAGAACTCAAGGATAGAATAAAAATTAGAATTCCCATCATTGTTATTCGAGGAGTTTTTCAAAACTGAACGTTTATTATGAAAACTTTGTATTTCAAAGTTTAGTTACAGGCCCTTTAAAGGTGAAAGTTATGTGTGTTTCTCGTCTGACTTAAACCCCTTCTTTTCGCGTATTAAGTTGTGTTTGTGTCAGTATTTTACTGTTGTGTTTGCGCCTGTCTTTTTCGCCATGTCACCTTCAATCTACCTCGCTGTCTTTTGTCACCATTTCGTCTCTCTCGCTGTTTTTAACGCCATGTTTTTTGTCGGAATTTACCCCAAAAGGGTCACAGTTTAGCGTAGGTCATTTCGTATCGTTATTGATACATCGAAACCTGTGCTGTTTTATGCTTATCAATAGCGCACATAGCCTGCGTGCAGACGATAACTAAACTCTGATTAGTACCGTCTGCGAAGCAGCGCAGAGATCCTTGTTCTGGGCCCCCAACGGACTCAACGAATTACCGAAAGTGCGTTTCGAATTCCCCTTCAACCTGATTGGCGATCACGACAAACAAAACAAAGGCCTTTTTTAACTGGCCAATCGTGGCGCGTACTCAAATCTGGGTACACAGCTGGAAGTCCAGAACAAGGATTTCGGCGCTGTTTCGCAGACGGAGTTAACCAGAGTTTAATTTCGTCTGCGCGCAGGCTATAGCGCACACGGTGAAGGCTTGGCCTGAATCCCTCCAGACCTGTTTTTTATTGTTGTTCTTTTTTTCGTACAGCTCCCTTACTTCAGCTACAAGCTCAGCAGTGATGTATTCCGCGGGAGTATCACTTGTCTTGGTTACCTACCACTCAACCGACTGTTGTTGATTGGTAGCGACACAGGGAACATTGTCCTCTGTTCCTAAGTAACGGTTACCTAGACAACAAATCTGTTCAAATGTACTACTTTACTTTGTTACCAAGAAAAAGATTATTTTTGCAGTTTTGTAAAAGACTATGTATCATCCTGTCGATGGTTAATCGTGATAAACGTAAATAGAAAATACAGGGAAATTCCTCGGTTTAAATCCAAATGGACTGAATTTAACTTGCGCGTGTTTGCCACCCGTAGTTTTCCGTGATTTAGAGAAAAAATCCTTTGGCACCCAGATTATACGTTTTTCGAGCCCCCCTGGTAGCTGGGCCAATTTCCTTCTCCGAGGAGGTTCTTTGTAAGGAATCGGAACACGGAAACATTGAAGGCTGTATAAATTTATTAATGCGGCGCCAGGAGATTTTAAGAAGAGGAAAAAATGAAACTAGATCACGCCACGCTTTAAGTCATTCAAAATATATTGCGCAATTCCACAGACATTTTAGGTATAAACCTTTTCGTACCTTCCTTACATATATCCTTTTGTAACTTCTCATGCATGGTTAGAACCGAGGCTCCACGTCACGAAGCTGTCAGAACGAGTTCTGTTGGTAGCTAAACAATAGCATCGTGCCAAAGCTTAGTCTCCTTCGCAGCCGTTATTAGGGTCGTCACTCGTCACGCAACGCTCCTCCCCACTAAGGGGAGGAGCGTTGCGTGACGAGTGACGACCCTAATAACGGCTGCGAAGGAGACTAGCTAAAGCTCTGTTAAATAAGTTTCATTTGAACGGTCACACCACTGGAATTGATTCACAGACTCGAAAGGTTGAGCTACGTACTAAATAAATAGTATCATGAGAAAAGTATTGCTGAAGAGGTTTCATTTGAATGGTAACACCATAGGATTTCGTCCACTCACTCAAAAGTTGGAGCCACACTCTTAATAAATAGTAGCATGTGAAATTACTACTGAAGAGGTTTCGCTTGAATGGTCACACCATAGGATTTGGTCCTTAGACTCAAAAGTTCGATTAACATACTAAGTGAATAGTACCATGTGAAAGTACTACTGGGTAGGTTTCATTTGAATTATAACAACATAGGATTTCATCCACAGACTCAGAAGTTAAAACCTGTTTATGTAGTATAAGATAATTGAAAAATGAAAGAGTACTGCGTACTAAATAAGAGGTTATAGTTTAGTGGTATAACACCATAGATTCAATTATGATGGCTGCATTTCCTGCTTCTATAGTTACCGTATTTTCCGATGTGAAAACACTTGTTGTGTAGGGCTAGTTTAATACACATTCAATAAATTACAATATTTTATTGCTGCAATTGTTTAATTCAGCGGATTCAAAGAAAAAATACGTATGTATTAAGAAACTGCAAGTTATTATTAAAATGATATATTTTTTGGGACAATTCGGCTTAATCTATGTTAATATTTATTACCTTTGTTAGCTTTTGAACCGTATTTGTATGCATTGCTTTCGTGGAGTTTCTCTTTAGTACAGAAACTCGAGGAATTACTACAGTCCATTGTCAGCCCCAATTTCAAAAGTTCTTGTATCTTTTACATGATTATTATTACTTATAGTTGAAATACAAGTATAATGAACTTTGGAGTAATTATGAAATAAACTAGTGAACCTAAGAAAAAAATAGTGCTTAAAAATGGGCTTTTAACATTTTCATGCGGGATGAAACAGTTTTTAAAGAACATTTTGCTAACGGTCATAACTAAAAAAAGTCACGGAAATATTCCTTGACTCGTTCTATGACTTTGCCTCCCTGAACTGGCTTTAAAATAGAAAACAGAAATATTTATAAACAGGAAGTGAATGTTTTCTTGGAAACCATATAAATCTATTGATACGCCTTTAATACCCACTCGAATGGAACAACGGTCTTTATAACTCGTATGAAGGCCTGGCTGATAACCAACGGGTAGATTAAGCGCGAATTAGGCTTGGTTTATTAGGACTGAGAGTCAAAGGAATACGGAGGTTTGTGTAATTACTCCCATTTGAATCATGTTCTTCATGCCATGATCTGAAGACGGGCGCGGATGCCCCAAAACTAAACAAGCAAAACAAAATTTTTTTCTCAACGCTAGGCAAGGGCCGCAAGGCATTTCCCTGGCTTTTGAAAAAGCAAACTACTTTTGAAAACGGGTAAAAATCAGCGAAAAATCGAATAGGCGAATTTTTGAATCAATGACATCGATTTCATCTTCTAGTTGAAATTTCCGTTAGTTCCTGTTTTGGCCGCTCCCCCTCGAGATCATCCCGGCCTTCAGCAAAACTTCCGTTCAGACAAAAAGAAAAATAAACAAGGGAACAAAAGGGTTCTTTTCTTAGATAATGATCATTCTTTGAAACAGAGATCAGACGACATTGAGGCATAAGCCCTAACGACTTGTATACTTTTGAGGTAAGTAGTGAGATCGAATTCTCGAGAACAAATAATTAGAAATCAGGGATCCAGGGAGAAAATTCTCCATGTCTTAGCAAGATATATACCGGTAACTTGCACAGACTGCCTTTTTGCGCACTACTTTTCTTACTTCCGCCTTACTTACTGGAAGCCAAGGTTACCATGCTCTGTCAATTCACTAACTGTATTAGACGTTTACTAAGTAAATCTCAGTCTTTCAAACTAAAACTGTGGCCTTCTCGGCGGAATTTCAAAAACATAAAATAACTCTTAATTAATTTTTAAAAAAAAACCCTGCCGCATTTGAATCTCCATTAAGAGGCCAACTATTAAGCGGCCATCCTAGCTAGTAATCAAAGTCCTGAAATAATTGTTAAAAAGAGTTGAATATTAAACCTCTCCAAAGCAGCCACCTCCTCCATCGGCTGCGGCGCCATCTTTTGGTCATCCCGATACACCGATACACTTAGGTTGGTTTTATCAAAAATATTATGAAGGAAAATACAGTCCGATGCCAATGCCGCTCCCGTGACGCCCCTCGCCACTTGGGAGGTTTCGCAAGGAGGGACATCTATTGCTGAGGCGAAAACGTCCCCGCCTGGCTAAACGACGTTCCTAATGTGACCACCTCTATCAAGCGGCTGCGGTCACCTTTTGGTCATCCCGACTAGAGTTCTCCTATTGTTCGTCTTCTGCGCGGCCACAAATAAAGCACAGGAACCTTAGTTTGGTCATTGACTGATATGATGAAGGAAAATACAGTCCGAGATAGAAGGGTGTGACTGCCGATTGTGGACCAGTAATGCCACTGCCGTGACGCGAGCCTGAGAAAACAATCCTCTCTCTTCGTTCCTCGCCGCTGGGGACGTTTCCCCAAGAGAGACGTATGTCGCTGAGGCGCAAACGTCCCCGCCTGGCGAAACGTCCGCACAAGTTGTGAAACAAATGAGCCTGCTCGCGGGCTCCGCGCGTGGCACGTGTTTGTTTGATCTTCACGCTCAGCTGGGAAACACGGTTGTTGACCGGCGGTAATTCAGACGCCGAACTTCACACTGAGCCGAACCAAATGTATAAATTTTTATAACGTTATCTAACCGAAATGCGCATAATTTTTCACTTTTGGATTTAAAATTAAATCGACTCATGCAGTATAGCCATCCCTGGCAGGCGTTTTTAGTGTGGTAGTTCATCATGTTTCTGGGGAGGGACGAAATACGAGCTCCCCTAAAAACGCCAGCGAGGGAAGCTATCTGGAATAAAGATCGGCGTCTGAATCAATTCAGCCGCCTAAATTAATTTGTGTCGGCCTAAATTAAAAATCAAATTCGAATCGGCTCACGTAAAGTTCGTCGCCTTCCCTTTTCTCTCTCTCGCCACCCCCGCAGAATCTCAACTGGGCCTAGAAGCACTGTTATTTGAAGACACATCTTTGAAGAGGTTTCCTCAAAGGTTACATCTCATAGGGCTACATTTCGAATTCTACCAAGAAGAGCATCCCCCGCTTGGGGAGAATTATCCAAAGGAGTTCTCTGCTCCTATTTCACTCTAACTCCGGACAAAACTGCTTTAAATTCATCACAATTGAAACTACGGTAAGTCTCGCAGAAACATTGCAATGCGTGAACAGTCTGAACAAGAGTGGAGTTTCTTTATAATAGGTATTTCTATGTACGTCAAGAAAATTAGGTTATGAAATTTAAAGTTAATCAAATTAATTAATTACGTTCTCGCGAAGAATGGAATCTTTCACGCATACTAAAACCAAACACCTTTAAAAGCAATTCTATAAAACATCCTTACTTTGCCAAAGTCCGTAAGACCGTAACCGTTTTTTCATCAGTCGCACGGGAAATAAGACTCAGATGAAATCAAATATCTTGTGTTGAACCCGCCTTGTTGTATGAGGATCTATGAGATACACAGGATATTGAATAACGGTGAGCATTTTCTCACGGACTAGGACTTAAGATTAGATCATATCGTTGTGTCATCGAACAGTTCCTTTATGGTTTTGACGTCACAACACGAGTGACGTCAGAAGTTGTGAAATCAAATGGCGCCGTGATTAGGTTGCTTTGTAACGGTATCAGCACTCTGTTTGCTGTAAAGTGTATCCCTTCTTTTTTGAAAAAAAAAAAACAAACATTTCCATCATTGAAGACAAGAAGTGCTTTAACTTGAATTTAATTTTTGCCTTTTCACATTTTTTATCTCACGGAGTTCCACGCACACTAAAAAATATTTTCATACGCGGTTAAGAAATTAAAAACCATGTCGAAGCACCATTAAAAGCTAAATCAACATCAGAAACCATTACGGGAGTCATTTTTTTCCGTAAACAATTTGAAGATGGATTTGTCACCGACCTAAATACGTGATTCTGTTGATTTAACCCAAGAATAATAATATACTGAATAGTTTAAAAACGCATTGCCTCGGCTTTTTTTATCATCCCTGGTTACGATTGTGACCTTTAATACGCCTAGTTCAACATATCTGGGAGGTAACTTCCCTGGTTTCGCAATTCTTGACCAATATTATGTCTGTTAGTTCGAGAAATTTATTTTAAAATACCCCGCATTTCTACAATAACTTCACACACATCCGGCATAACTGATTCCCCTCAGGGGTACTGACGGGATATAAAGCCTTGGAGCATTCTGGGAAATAGGTTTATTGTTGAGGAGCCCGAGAGAAATATCATCACATTTTCGTGGTAAAGTTGGAAGTGAGAACGGTCGAAGAAGACCTATTTTTATCCTCCACAACTTCCTATCCTCGTTTCTCTTTCCTCCTCAGCCTTTGTTGCGATAACTTTATTCGGCAGGGTGTGACAACTGAGATTTTCGTCAGAGTCTACGAGCTGATGACCTTTTAGGTCAACTGGAGAGTTCGCCAATTTAAAAGATCATCGTAGAGCTAAGACCCAGCACCTAATCGTGCTACTTGTGTGTTTTTGACGACGAAACTGCTTTCTTCTTTAGCCAAGTTGCTCTTGAAGAATTCGTTCTCAAGGTGAGCTTTATTCGTGGTGTTTACTTGAAATCAATCTGTTCAATGCAATGAACGACATAAAATTTGAATTCGAAGATAGACGACATGTCGATCAAATGATTTCGGTATAAAGTTGACTTTAATTTAGTCGATACTTTTGAGCGGGATTTCAGGATATGACTAGACTATCCATAGAGAGAAACATACAGTGAAGGAATGGAAAGCTAGTGAAACCGCTCTCGTTCTTTGCTTTGCAAATAATATTAGAATTTTTTAATAGACTTTCATAAGCTTTAGCTTATCTTACGTAAGCTAAAAAATCCAAAGTTTCTTGTCCTTTCTTGATTCGATTACTCAAGAAAGGGGAAGCTTGCATGTTTGAATGAAATAACCGGCACATTTTGCTCAGTTATTTACCCACGTATACCATTACTATCATCTATAGTTCCAATATAAACATTGTGTGCGTGCAAACTTCTGTAGCACTTTGCAAATGGTTAACGATATTGATTCGACATCAACCCTTTTATATATTTGGATTTCTATGCTACATGTGCACGTAATGAACGGGTTCCGGTTCAGTTATGGTTAAATTTAGGCATATACATGTTGTAGCTGTCGTGTAAGATAGTTGGGGCGAGGACATCAGTTAAATTTTTCGGTTGATCGCTAACAAGGAAAAAACGGGAGACCGTTGTAAAGGTAAGCTGGCTAGTCGCCGTAGATCGAGGGAAGATTGAATAGTAAGCCTATAGCATTTAATAATTTTGGAGCAAAATCTCTCATTATCCCATTGCGATCTCAGGCAAATTCTGCGATTGTTATTTTAGCGCATTTGATACTTCCTTGAAAATCTTGTCAGGAATAATTAATTCTCGACCGACTAAGGGGTGTTTTTCTTTCTAATCATCTTTCTTAAAATAAAATTTTACGGTTGATTTTTTGTATTTGTGCCAATTTTATTTTGAAGACAAAGTCAAGGCTTATTGCATTATATTTATATGTCTTTACTTAGTAGTTCTACAAAGATTTTGTCATAATTATGTCAAAATGATACTTATCAACTGCCATTTTCAAAGCGCATTCTAGCAGCCCCTCTGTGATAGAGAAACATATTAATGGTAAGGTGAAATAGAGTCCAAACTACAGCTCAAATTATCATGGGAAATTCAGTGGAGAAATGTTATGTAGTCAACTGTTTAGTCTGTGGATGAAATCCTATGGTGTGACCACTCAAATGAAAGCTTTCACATGGGGGTACATGTACCAACTATTACAGTTTTTACAAACATACTTTATTAAAATGTCAATAGTAAGCAGCTAAGGACTGATGTGGCCCTTGACAGTGCTGTGTAAACAGGTTCTAGCTTTAAAATCTGTGGATAAAAGTCCTATATTTGCCATTTTTGAGAAGAAGGGATGATTTTACTCACGTTATCCATGATACAGTATCTATTTTATATTGTAACACACAACAACTTCCTCAAGGTGTCATCACTCAATCATCCTCTAGGGAGTTATTGCAACCCTTAGGACTTGAAGAAGGTGATGCACATTCACAGATGTTTTTTTTTTGTTATTGGGCTCTGAATCCTTGAGAGTGAGAGACTTTTGAGGTCAGACATACTCAGTATTTAATTACGTCAAGTCAGCCTTGAAGTCTTTGTGAAAAAAGAAAGACTCAATGCTTTGTATAGGAATGAGGTCTACCTCACCATCTGTCTTAAAGAGGTCATTGGAATCATTATTATTATTTTCAAGATTCTTTACAGCTGAATTTAGGATTGTAAATGATCACTTTATTGTAGCCTATTGTATAGTTCCAGAAAATATGCATACCCCCCTCCCTGATATGTTTTTCTAGAACTACACATTATTGGTTTTAAGCTGGTGTCATTCATTATTAGAGTAATCATGGCTGTATTTTCACAATACAATACTGCTGGCAAAATTTTGTGCCTTTTGCTCTATAACAAACAGGTAAAACACATATTACTGAATATAGCATGAATGTTTTCACTATTGCTTTTTTTGTTGTTGTAACTGGGTTAATTTGGTAACAGATTCTTTTTTAAAGGGAAGAGTAATCCGCACATGGTTTCCTGTTAATTACGTAGGGTGGAATAACCATATTGATCTAGGTGACAAAAATATAACAACTTCCCTTTAAATAACTAAGCAAGGTTTAATTTGTGACACACAATCTCTTATTACGTTTCTAGAAAGAGCTTATTATAAATATAGCTCATTTTTTGTGTACTTGAATTAATTATATTGGGTTTCAGTCTTTGTGAACAGATTTTCCTCTATAACTTATGCTTTTAGTGTTACATTCAGCAGAAAATTGAGTCATTGTCATTTTTTCTTCAGACCATGATGGCATCTGAGGCATTAGAGCTCTCTTCAGCAGGAAGGGATATCCCAGGGCATCCAGATTATAGACGACTTCATTCAGAGGAAAACACGGCGGCCACAAAAAGGCCTGGAATAAAGAAATCTATATCATGGGGAAACCGATCAGATGCGATGAGAACATTGTCTTTTCAACGTAGGTTTATCTTGTGGTGAATGTTAGAGAAACACAGCACAATTCCGTTGTAAATTAAAAATGTTGTGTTTTGGACTAACATCAATAAATTGTAGTTAACTTATTAGTGTCATTAGACATCCCTAATTAAAATTCTGTTCACTCCTTAAAACCTCTATAGATGTTAATATTATTGCTTGATGGTACATGCACTGCAATATGAAGTTGGCCGTAAAATCAGTTGTCTCTTATAGAGTGTTTTCACATGACGTCACGGCGGCCATATTGATGTCCCAAAACAATGAAACGGCGGCCATGTTGGTGTCCCAAACCAATCCTGTGGGAGTTGAACTCTTTTCTTGTGCAAACGCTTTCTTTTGTTCCAATAAATTTGCATAGATGCTGGCCACGTGAGTGAAAACACTCTATAAGCAAGAGTTTTCTTTGGCACAATACCATTATTTTTTTTCCTTAGCCTATTTAATTGAGTCTCAGTAATAATTTATATTCCATAGTAATTACTGAGCCCTTTGTTCCTTACCTAAGCACCAACGCAACACACAAAACAATTAGTCAGTCTGGTGACAAAATTTAAGAAAGATTTTTATATTAGAATAATTTTATCATATTACCAAGACTACTACTAGTGTTTGATGAGTCTAATGCTGCATGTTGCCAGCTAGAGTTTCTTGTACTTTGGGTACAATTTTGGGTGGCAGTGAATAGAATCAACAGTCAACTTTCATGATTGCTGGCATCCTCTGACAGTAACACTTGAGGCAGATATGTAATAAGGGGAACTACATGTATGAGAACAACTTTCCTAGGGATGACTTTTAACAACAATTCTGATTCATGTGCATTAGAACAAAGGTAAATCCAAACAAAAAGACAAAAATGAAGATCTATTATTCGAAAATATGACATTTTGTCTGATTATGTTGAAAGATACTGCTCGGTGCCAGCTAAATGCTGAAATTGTGCTGTTGGGACCAAAACAGCATCTGTGTGTCTGTAATGGCGAGACTCTGTGATAATGGAAGTTTGTTTTACGGTGAAACATTTATGAGATTTACACAACTAGTTTCAGTTGTAGCGATCTGTCTGCGAGGCAAGACTTGACCGTAATTTAGGATACATTGACAGCAGATCCAGGGCTCAAGAAAAGTCCCTTCCTGAGTAGTGCTAGTAGTGAACAACATCAATTTTCTTCTAATGATATCCAGAGATTGTCAAGAGCAAAGTCTATAAGAATTAATAAAATGATCACAAAGAGAAAAATTTTTGATCTTTTATCAAATTCTTCCAACTAGTTCTGAAAGGAAATGTAGAGAGATCAGTCAGGAGAATTTGTATGTTGATACTGGGACTTAAAGGGTTAACTAAGCCAGCAGGAAGCGGCCCTGGACACGCAAACTGTGAGGTCTGCGTACCCAAAGGAATATCTTGAATCCAATTTTTGTCAAGCCCTGTCCTGCTATAAAAGAAATTATTTGCAGCTGTGATCTGGTGTAAATGCTAATACATGTAGTAAAACTTCTCAGTCTGTTTTTTTTTTTTTATGTGTAGCATTGACAGTCGCCGTTTTCTTAGTGGAGAAGTCAGGTCGTCTGCTTAATCTTGAAGAAGGAAGAAATACCATAGCTGGAACAATAAACACAATCATGGCAGAGAATCTCTCGCTTCCACCTGTCGCTTCACAAGTGTTCTGTGTGTGGCTTATTTCTCCTCTGCTACGTAAGTAGGGAATTTGGCATATTTCTAAAAACAATTTATGTTATTATTCAGTTGGGGTCTTCATCGCTCTGTTCCCCACTGAAGTAAAATTAACTTTCGTAAGTTGCAGTTTCTTTGAGTGCATGCATGCATACTTGAAAAGTTGCAGCTGCAGAGCAATCTGTTACCTTTGGAGCTTTCAGAGCACATTTAACAATAATTATTTAACTCACACTTTTCCTCATTATGTTTCTTATAAATACATGTACATGAAAAAAAAATTGCCAACTTTGCACTGTATTTTCCCATTTCTCTAAAAAAAGATGTAAATAACGTCAATCTGAGTTATATATTGTAGTCAGTTCTTGTACTGACTTCTTTTACGTAGTGTTCAATGTCAGTGGTTTTTATTAGTAGTATTTTCTCTTTCCCCTTTTTTAGAGCTACAATTAAAAGATCACCACCGCCCATTCAGATTACGGAAAGTGTGGGCAGAATTACTGAAAAAGTTTACCGTTGTTACTGATGAAGTTGCTGAAAAAGGTAAACTGCCTTTAACCCTTTAAACCCTAAGATCGAAATTGAGATTCTCATTTACTGTCCCTATACTTTTTCAATAGAAGTAGTGGGGAGAATTTGTTGAAGGATCAATTAGACTCATCCTCCCTGATCATATACTCGATTCTCATGACCGCTGTTTTCTAAAGCATTGATAATTATAAGGAGAAATTTGATGCCGATCACTCTTAGGGCTTAAAGGGTTAAATTGTCCAAGTTGTACATTTATCATAAGGATTACAATGTATTTTGTTGTCATAAAAATCATTTTTTTTGTTTTTTCAGTGATGACTAATATAAATAATTTTGACAGTTTACTTAGATAAATATACATTTAAATATACGCCATTGAGGCAAGGAAGCAAATTAAACTGTACAATATTAATTTCCCCCTCTTTAAAAAATTCTCAATAAACTGGATATGATACACTATTAAACTGGTAAATCTAATTTATACCCTTAATTTCAATCTGCCCTTAACGATGAGAATTGATTCCAAAACACAACATCAAGTACCAAGAGAAATATTTAATATATTATTGTTATTTTTGTTTTTGTTACTCATGCAGATGAACCAATTCTATGCTATCAGAGAAATTCATTTTTCCCACTTTCAGAGGAAAAGAGAGTAAGTAACAATTATTTTATTTTTATCATAGTGAACTGTGTGGAACTTTAAAATGTTAACCTATTTTTTGACATTCTGTTTCTATTTTTACATAGATAAAGGATGATAGGATTATCAAAAGGCTCTTTGAAGAGGTAAGTAACATACCACCGTAGAAATTGTGTAGAACAAAATCTTATCCTTAAATTGATGGGTTTAATATATAATAAATTTCAAGCAAGGAATGGAATGGTTAATAAAGCTGCTTCATAGCCCCTTATGTTCCTGGTAATGTAATATTTTGAACAGTTTGGGAATAGTCCTTCGCAAGTTGCTTCATCTGCCGAAACTTGAAGCCTGCATGACTTTTACAAACATTTATTGCTTGCAAGTTAGCACTAGAAGTACTGGGTTTAAGCAAAATGGGTTATTTCATTGCTAAAACGCTACCACAAAGTAATAATGAATTATTTCTAGTTCCCTGTTTCTACCTGTGTGAAACCAATATTCAGTGACTTTTCTGTTTGTATTAAGTTGTTAAACATTTTTTGTGTTTTGTGTTTGCCTTATAGGCCAAATATAACATCCTGAGTGGCAATTACCCAATAACTGAGAAGGATGCTCTTATTCTCGGAGGAATTCTTGCCTATATTGAAAATGGACCATTTGATCCTAAAGAACACACTCCTGGTGTTTTCAAGTAAGTTTGAATGAAATTTAATGCCATAAACAACAAGGAGCATGGTCACTTGTTGTCGGTCAGTGGTCAGTGTAGTGGCTAAAGCGCTGTCAGCCTTGTTTGCATCATGACTTCATGTGCCTACTACAGGGTTTCTTGGCAGCCTCTCTCTTGGTTTAGCCTTTGGATCATTCTTTTAGCCCCATCCTCCCCACCCCCACTTTTTTTTCCAGTGATAAATCATTGTGACAGGTGTCTGGTTCCATTGGCATGGTAGCTCATGGCTGGAAAGGGGCAGGTTTACCAGCCATGGGGGCATAACTCTGTCTATAGGCTGGCTTTGCCAAATTAAAGTGGAAGCCCCTGGACATGCCGGGCACCCACCTCCACAAAGCAACGCAAATGTTAATGCTTAATTTAGGTCGCTGTTTTCATAATACTGTCAAGTCCATGAAGGAGGAAGGTGAAGTGTCTGAACAGAAATACTCACTCATCATTAGCATTTGCTTTGAGCCTGAAGTCACTTTAAATTATACTGCTTGGGAGAAATGCAGCTGTGCTTTTGTTCAGTAATAATTCTTTGCTGACATTAACTTTCAAAGTGTGCAATGAGTTCTGATGAACAAAGTTGGCTAAACTTCTGTGTAATGATCACTTAAACACAACTTTTCCATTTTAGAAACAAGTTAACAGATTATCTACCAGGATGGCTTTGCAAATCAAGCTGGTCTATCCGTGGTAAATCCCCTCGATTGTCTCTGGAAAACAAGCTTTTGCAGCAGTACGCAGATGTTTCTGAGAAAGCATCGGATGTTAAAGCTTGCTACAAAATGTTTCTGGCATACTGCTGGGATTTTCCATTCTATGGGTATGTTGCAGTGATTTTATTACAAATAGTTATGGGGAGTCCTGGGACTCATCTTGCGAAAAATCATGAGTTTCAGTCCAGACCCATTGAGTCCCAATTCAAAAACACTAGTCCCTGGGTCTTTATGTAATCACACAGTTAATCTAAAGACAACTCCAAAACTCTGTATTACAGTTTAGTGAAATAAAAATATACTCCTTAAAGCACAACAAAGACTAAAAGGCATATGTGCCATTAAACAACAGTCACAAGAACGGCCACAGAAATCGCACAAACAGGATATTCCACAAAAACATCTTCAGTTCGATCAACTGATCTTTGCGTCCCGCGGGATGCATATGCGTGAGGGATGCAGGACACAGAGGCAGCAAAATCGCAGATGTTGCAGCTTGTTTAGTGCTAAGAGTGATCAACATCCAACGTCTCCCTGGGGGCTATTAAGGGTTCCCTGGATGACAATTATTTTTGCAGATCTCCTTCTTTTCCCATTGCTTAACTTATGTTTTGTTTCAACAGGAGTGTCTTTTTCCGAGGTCAGATCGAACGTCCTTCTCCTTCTCTGTTCTCTAACATTTGGGGAAGTTCAGATTTGCCAGTAAGAGTTGCCATTAACAGGGAACGTCTTCATGTAATCGATGACAACAAAAATGTATGTGGTGACTCTTAAACATTATTTCTTTTATAATCTTAGGCCCAGTTCCAATGCCATACCTCACATGAGCTGAGTCAAATTCAATGAATTAAGTTCATGTGAAGTACAGTGCTGAGTCAATACGAAACGGCTAATTGTATTTGGCTAAGTTCAGCCATTCTTCTTGCCTTGCTCAGCCTGGAATAACAGTTGTGGACCGCCATTATTTATTCAGCTGCCAACCTTCACACAGGGTTGTCGAAAGTAGCCCTGGCCAAAATCACTGCCTACTTGGTTAGTATTGGCTGGCTACTCTGCTTGGCATTTCTTTATGGATGGCATTTTTAAAATAAAATATCCCTGGACTTACTTTGACAACTCAGCCATCTACTTCAAACCTTTCTGACAACCCTGCTTCACATGAGACAAACCAAATGCATTAATTTTTATGCATATTTATTTAATTTTTTTTTATCGTGATAGTAAGCTTGGGGAGTACTTACACCTGTACAGGTTTGTGCCCTGTGATAATCCGGTATTAAATTGTAAACTTTTCTTAAAACATTCTGCTTTTGTCACAGTTTAGTGAAGTAATTATTATTATTATACTAAATTAATTTTGACAAAAGCAGAATTTTTATGTTTTTCTAAGACTCATTTTTTGGGGGGGATTACTTGGGTGATACCCTTGAATGGCACTACTCATTTTTTGGCTACTTCTGTAAAAAATTATCGGCAGCCCTTGACTCAGTTGCCAAGTTGTGCCATTTATTTATTTATGTTATTTTATTTTATTCTATTTTTGACTTAAAGGACATCCTTTTGAGCTTGGCATTTGATGAGCTGTCATGGGACTACACTCCTGCCCCAGCTATGGAGCCAGGCTGTTTGGATACTTTCTGGTTAGAGTTTGACACACCAGGCTATGATGGTCAGTCATTAGAGGTACAACGCCTGCAGGTCTTTTCAAAACAGGTGAGCCTAGCTCTCTTCAGTTTGAAAGTTGAAGAACATTGGTATATTTTAAGAAGAAGAACGTTACATACTTTGCAATGGATTTAAAGTTGACTTCATTGTTGCATTTTTTTTAATTTCCAGGCTGAAATGATGGATGCCATGGTTCAGTCATGCGTTTTTTGTGATGACCCAGCTGGGTAAGTAAACCAGTCCTTCATGTCCTAAGAATGGCCAACATCAATTAAATTGATGTTGAATGATAGCATTACTCGTCTGATCCATGTCATTTGAGAGAAAAGTAATACTTCAGGTCTTTTGAAGGGATGCTATAATACGGCCTGTTGTCTTCAAGGAATGGCTGACCGAGTCGTTCAAATGGCGTGATGTCTTCAACGAACGGGTGATCAAGTCGTTTGAATGGGTTGATGTTTCTAACGAACAAGTGACCAAGTCATTCCAACGGGTTGATGCTTCTAACGAACGGGTGACAAAGCCGTTTGAACGAGCCGATGTTTCTAGCGAACGTGTGACTAAGCCATTCCAACAGCTGACAAACAGCTTGTAAATGGAAAGCTATTTGAAAACAGAAAGTTGTCAGTGTACGTTTTCACATGGAAGGTCAGATTTTCTCTTAAAACAATATTAATACATAATCAAAAGAAAGTTCATGAGAATTAATAAAATTATCACCAATGAAAAATGGTTTGATCTTTTACTACATTATTTTCTCTCAACTGCTTCTTTAAGAAATGTATAGATATCAGTCTAGAGAATTATATTGTAGGTTTTGTTGGTTGAGGGGTAATTGGTAGGGGTAAAATATTTTCATAATCAGTTATTGTTGTGATACATAGCCTTAATGTTGAAGTCAGCCAAGTGTATTTCAAAATCCAGAGTGTTTAATACTTTGTTTTGTTTTATCTAAGGGTTTTCCTGTAACTAATCTTTTGTTTACCCATCACTTACAATCAATTTTCTTTTCTCTTCTTTTCTTGTTGTTTTATGGAAACAGGGATGGTCGCAGACAAGGTAAGTCTCAGTTTTGCTGTACATGTATGTTCTGTGTGGTCTATGAATATTAATTGGCTTTTCTCCTAATCCTTAATTAACATTTTCTTTTTCGTTGTTTTTGGTCATGTTAATGTATGATAATAGTTTAAGGCTTGCAAAGGAAAAGAAAATTTGAACTAAGGTTGAAATTGAACCGTAACTACAGCGTGCAAAGAAAGTGGTGTCCGATAACCGGGCTGGTGGATTTTAATATTGGACCAGTGAATTCTGTTCTTAACTTGCTGGACAGGCGGGGCAAGTGAAACTTTTTAAGGACTTATAATCACAAAAGAACTGTTTTAATGAACACAGATGATCTATACTCAACCCTACTCGTAATTACATCCATACTGCAGTTTCAGAACACTTTCTTACCAGTAATCATTCCGACAATCATATGCTTTTGATTCCTATTGAAAAACTTAAAAATGGGCGTGATTTTTCAGGAAAGCACGTGAAGCCCACCTCATCCATAAAGCTAAGACAATTGAGCCTCTGGGCATCAATAAACGTGTTGAACTGTAACCATATATAGTATATCTTTTATTTTTTTGTTATCTTGTCTTTTTGAGTAGCCACACCATACCACGTCATATTACTGAATTTCCGGTCATTTTTTTACTTCATATATATTTCTGTAAATTCGTGATATCTCAATAAACCTGATGAAGACTGGTATTGGCCAGTCGAAATATCGCAACTTAACTCTATTTCACGTTGTTTGATCAGTCCCTGCAAAAGCCTTCTTGACTGTAACGTTTGTACCAACCCTGCTCATAATTGGGCTAGTTAAAATGACTTTTGGGCTAGTACATGCTAACTGCAGTTTGCCCGAATGGCAAGCTGTAAAACTGACTTTCTTTGCACCCTGAACTAAATGTAATGATAATTGTGCAATTATTTTGTGTGAGCTAGCAATCCAATCATGGCCCCCTTTTCAAGGCTTATTCTCCTACATGAAGTTCGCTGTCATAATAATATTTGTCTTTGTTTTTATTGACATATTTGTAGTACAGTTACAATGTCACAGTTTCATTTATTACAAACAAATATTATTGACACCATCAACACTTAAATTTAATGGAATGCAAATCTTTTATAGGCTTAGTTCATCTCAGTGATAAGGAATACTTATTTTTTGAACAGGTGGAATGAGTTGCAGAATGGAGCGTCTCAGTCTCTCCACTCTTGAAGGTTTGTGATTCAATTGAGTTAGCTTTTGACCAGCTTGGGTTTTTAATAACTGAACATTGATGATGATGATGATTAAAAAATTAAACTTGTAATTGTGACTTTTTTTATAGGAGCCTTGAGCCGAAAGAAGAGGAACAACGCGTCCTTCACCTTGAGCAACCCCTTTAGGAAGAGGCAAGGCTCAGATCAGTGACAATGACCACAACCATATAAGGAAGTTGTAAAATAGTTCTTCAAGAAGTAATAGCTGTTGATATTTTTTTTAAATAATTTTTTATTGTTGATATTTTATGAGGTCTTTTGTTTGGTAGAACCGGAGAGGGCTTGTATAATAGCATTTCAGAGAAAGAGGAAGAGTGAGATGCTAAAAAACAGAGTGGGAAGAACAGCACAGGAACACTGGTGTGTGACTTGTAGACTGCAGACATGCAGATGGACGGGTATGAGAAGACTCAAAATTTCGGCTGAGAAATAGTTTTCAGGTAAATTCACAACATTGTTGACCTTCATCGTTCTTGTTGACTTTGTTTTACTGTCAAGTCTGCATGTCTGCAGTCTGCAACTGTTACACAGTGTAAGTTACTTTTACCTTTCCTTTGCTTTGTCGATTGTGGAACAGGTGTGTCTTAGCTGTGTCAACAAATATTGTGCCAGTGTTGGCATACAGTTGTTTCATGTACTATTGATTTTAATAGTGGTCAGTGTGTCTACAGCATCAACCAGTATAGTGCCAGTGTTGACATACAGTGGTACCATGTGCCCTTTTAGTCTTGTTAGTGTTCAATGTTGACAGTGTGTCTATAGTGTTGATCAATGTAGTGCCAGTGTTGGTATACAGTTTTTAGTCTTCCTAGCAGTGGTCAATGTTGACAGTGTGTCTACAGCATTGACCAATGTAGTGCCAGTGTTGGCATACAGTTGTACCATGCCCTCGTTTAGTCTCAATAGTGGTCAGTGGTGATGTTTCATATACTTTTGAGTTACAAAACTGGCAAATGTTTGCCTATTACGTACCTATAGCCTGGTAGGACCCAACACTGGTCAGTGATTGGGTATCATTATTAGATAGTCTTTCAGTCTCAATAGCAGGGCTGTCATTAAGAGCCAGGGGCTGGGGATTTCCCCCAACTAATAATAAATTATGAATGTGGTCCCCAGCTACTTTCGTTGGAAAATCCCTAGCAGTTTGATTCCCCACCTACTTATTGTATTTACCCAGCAACTTGAAGTCTTGGTAACAACCCTGCAATAGTGGCCAGTGTTAGCGATTTGTTCCCTTCAGCCCTCAATAATGACCAGTATTGGCATATCAAGTACCCCTCTAGTCCCAATAGTGGCCAGAGTTAATCTGTTGTTCAATTCCTATTCATTTTCGTTCATTTCATTTCGCATTGTAACTACGCAAACCAATCATTGTGGCATTAGTCGTTCCTTCTCGCTCTTTTTTACTGATTACATCCAAAAATTTTCAAAAACAAGAAAAAGTATCAATTTCAATGTTACTTTGATACTTTAACAACAAAAAGGTTGATTAGTACTCCTTTGTTTTGAACTTTACAAGTAACTTTACGTGTAAGTAAAACAGTGGGCAAATTCGAAATTATTGTTGGCACTGTTTCTCCGAGCAGTTTGGATTGGTCCAAAGAGTCTATAAAACAACACAAAGCAAAACTCGTTCATTTAACAGAAAAAAAAAATGAGAAAAATTTCTCACTTTATTTATCATTATTTTTTTACGTCTTAATATTTCCTCTTGAGTACAAAATTTAAAAAGTTGCTCAACAAATTGTCGCAATATGGACCAGATATATCACCCCAAGTAAGGGATTCCAGAATACATTAAATCCCACTGACTATTGGAATCCAAATTCAAGACTGGAATCCAGTACCTGGAATCCTGAATTTGTAGTATGGAATCCAGAATCAAAGACTGGCTTGGATTCCCTTACATCGGGCAAAGATATGGCTAAATATTCCTACAGAGAACGGTCTATAGTTCTCTGTTGGTTTATCTCATTCTCATTACTTGTCACTAGAAAATGCAAGGTCAAATACAGCTGTAAGTGATAGTCTTCCACCCAACAGCTGTGAAGTACATTATTTAACCATTACTCACTAAGCGGTTTATCAACTCGCTTCTATGGGTAGTTTCATGTACCTTCTTATTTTAAATTAAGTTCAGAATCTCCGATTATTTACTTCAAAAGTAAAGTAAAGGCACAAACGTAATTAATATAGTTTATTTAAGTAATGAATCTAGCTTGTTATTCACTTGTTGTGGATAGCCCTGAAAAGAATTAAGAACAAATTGTAGACAAAAGCCATGTGTACCAATAAAGCTTTTTAATCAAAATGGATGGATTTAACTGGCAATAAGAGATAGAAAAATACCTGTGTTGAAAAAATGCTTCAAATCCCACAGAAAAATCCAATATGGGAACCACCCAACATTTTTGCATTTTGAAACATTATTATTATCAGACCTTCTACTTTGTATTTCAATATCTGTCTGTATTGAGAAATCCCACAGGAGCTTATTTCTTGTCACATTCCACTGCTCTTTGTGGTTCATGTTCATACCATTAATCAATAAAACGAAACTTAATTTTGACCCAAAATCATGGGTTAACCCCTTTAGAAGAATCCAATATGGCCACCCCAAAATCAAACGTTTTATAAACGCTGGGCCTTTTTAGCAGTATAAAACATCATCAAACATCTTTGCTTACTTTATTTAAAAACAAAATCATTACAAAACAAAATTTTAACTTTCACCCACATTCTTGGCTTAACCTTTTTGGAAAAATCTAGTACGCCACCCCAAAATCAAATTTTTCATAAACGGTGTTTTCGGCCTTTTTAGAGGTCTGAAAATCATTTTCCTTGCCTATATTGCTTAACCAAAATTCTTCGAAAAATGGCCAATTTTGGACCAAAACCGTGGGTTAACCCCTTTGGAAAAATGTCAATTTTTAGACTTTTTGAACTTCTTGCTTTTATAGCCTAGAAAGGCGTTTTTTCGTTCTAGAATATCGTAAAAGACATTTTCTAAAAAGGCGTTTTATTCGTTCATAGAATATCGTAAAACACCTTTTCCTGGCCTACATTGCCTAAAAAAAAAAAGATGGAAATGGCCATTTTTGGACCAAAACCATGGGTTAACCCCTTTCGAAAAATGTCACTTTTTCGACTTTTCGAACTTGTTGTTTTTATAGCCTACAAAGGCGTTTTTTCGTTCTAGAAATTTTTGGACTTTTTTTGACATTTTCCTTGCCTATATTGCTTAACCAAAATTCTTCGAAAAATGGCCAATTTTGGACCAAAACCATGGGTTAACCCCTTTGGAAAAATGTCAATTTTTGGACTTTTTGAACTTCTTGCTTTTATAGCCTAGAAAGGCGTTTTTTCGTTCTAGAATATCGTAAAAGACATTTTCCTTGCCTATATTGCCTAAAAAAAAAGTTGAAAAAATGGCCATTCTTGGACGAAAACCATGGGTTAACCCCTTTGGAAAAATGTCAATTTTTGGACTTTTTGAACTTGTTGTTTTTATAGCCTAGAAAGGCGTTTTTTCGTTCTAGAATATCGTAAAAGACATTTTCCTGACGTACATTGCCTAAAAAAAAAACTTGGAAAAATGGCCATTTTTGGACCAAAACCATGGGTTAACCCCTTTGGAAAAATGTCAATTTTGGACTTTTTGAACTTCTTGTTTTTATAGCCTAGAAAGGAGTTTTTTCGTTCTCGAATATCGTAAAAGACATGTTCCTAACCTACATTGCCTAAAAAAAAAAACTTGGAAAAATGGCCATTTTGGGACCAAAACCATGGCTTAACCCCTTTGGAAAAAAGTCAGTTTTTGGACTTTTTCAACTTCTTGTTTTTATAGCCTAGAAAGGCGTTTTTTCGTTCTAGAATATCGTAAAAGACATTTTCCTGGCGTACATTGCCTAAAAAAAAAAGAGGTGGAAAAATGGCCATTTTTCGACCAAAACCATGGGTTAACCCCTTTGGAAAAATGTCAATTTTTGGACTTTTTGAACTTCTTGTTTTTATAGCCTAGAAAGGAGTTTTTTCGTTCTAGAATATCGTAAAAGACAGTTTCCTTGCCTATATTGCCTAAAAAAAAAAGTTGGAAAAATGGCCATTTTTGGACCAAACCATGGGTTAACCCTTTGGAAAAATGTCAATTTTTGGACTTTTTGAACTTGTTGTTTTTATAGCCTAGAAAGGCGTTTTTTCGTTCTAGAATATCGTAAAAGACATTTTCCTTGCCTATATTGCCTAAAAAAAAAGTTGGAAAAATGGCCATTTTTGGACCAAAACCATGGGTTAACCCCTTTGGAAAAATGTCAATTTTTGGACTTTTTGAACTTCTTGTTTTTATAGCCTAAAAAGGCGTTTTTTCGTTCTAGAATATCGTAAAAGACATTTTCCTGGCCTATATTGCCTAAAAAAAAAAGTTGGAAAAATGGCCATTTTTGGACCAAAACCATGGGTTAACCCCTTTGGAAAAATGTCAATTTTTGGACTTTTGAACTTGTACTTTTTATAGCCTAGAAAGGCGTTTTTTCGTTCTCGAATATCGTAAAAGACATGTTCCTAACCTACATTGCCTAAAAAAAAAAACTTGGAAAAATAACCATTTTGGGACCAAAACCATGGGTTAACCCCTTTGGAAAAATGTCAGCTTTTTGACTTTTTGAAGTTGTTGTTTTTGTAGCCTAGAAAGGCGTTTTTTCGTTCTAGAATATCGTAAAAGACATTTTCCTGGCCTATATTGTCTAAAAAAAAGTTGGAAAAATGGCCATTTTTGGACCAAAACCATGGGTTAACCCCTTTGGAAAAATGTCAGTTTTTGGACTTTTTGAATTTCTTGTTTTTATAGCCTAGAAAGGCGTTTTTTCGTTTTAGAATATCGTAAAAGACATTTTCCTGCCGTACATTGCCAAAAAAAAAAAAGTTGGAAAAATGGCCATTTTTGGACCAAAGCCATGGGTTACCCCCTTTGGAAAAATGTCAATTTTTGGACTTTTTGAACTTTTTGTTTTTATAGCCTGGAAAGGCGTTTTTTCGTTCTAGAATATCGTAAAAGACATTATCCTTGCCTATATTGCTTAACCAAAAATCTTCGAAAAATGGCCATTTTTGGACCAAAACCATGGGTTAACCCCTTTGGGAAAATGTCAATTT